GGTTTGGTTTTGGTTGGACCTCTGGGGGTCAGGGCACTCCTTTGTTTGCTGTCGGGGTAGCAGAGGGCTTGGAATCTTACACACTGAGACTTTTAGAGTTAGAAGAAGCCTCAGAAGTAACCTGGAATCATGTGAAATGGTTAAACACCAGGCGCTAAAGTAAGACTGCCCTAGTTTATTTTAATACCACCTCTACTACTTACTAGTCCTATGACCTTGGGCAAGTCACTTAATCTTTTTGTGTCTCTGTTTCCTGTCTGTAATATAAGGCTAATAGTAACCATCTCAGGTGCATTAGCTAGTTAATACAAGCGAAGTGCTTAGAACAGTGCCTAGCTAACAAGGGAAAGTGGTTAACAAACGTTAGCTCTGGAAAATGTTTAAAGCAACAGTAACCAGTGTTAGCAGTTTGCAGCCAATTTTTTTTCTATGCGTCACTAACATATTATTATTATTTTATAAACATGGGAACATACTATACATACGGCTCTCCAACTTTCCTTTTTCACCAAATAGTATATCCTCTGTGCCACTTTTGATAAACCTTAAAAGCATTTCCTCTGTCTTTTCCTCCCATGTCTTCAGAACCATAATATTAATTCCAATTGCATGTTCTGTAGTTTACTTAACCAGTACCCTGCTATCGGACACTTAGGCTATTCTTGAATTTTTCTTTCTGTAAATAAAGCTGTGCTGGACAAGTGGCTGGTGCCAATTGACTGTATGACCTTGAGTATGATCTCTCTGAGTCTTAGTTTTGTCATCTAAAAACAAAATGAACAGATTCTACTGGTGCTTCAAAACTCCTATGATCCACACATGAATCACTTCCAAGACCTCTCTTATAAGTAACTACCCAGCTTCTGCTTGCATTCCTCCCATGACAGGATGCTCACTGCCTCATAAGCAGCCTATTTCATTGTTGGATGGCTGTAATGATCAATAAAGCATCCGCTTATGTTGGGCTGAGATCTGTCTCCCTGTAGCTTCTAGCCTAGTTTGATTCTCTGGGGCCCCTGCACGTTCAGTCTGTATTCAGTGGCCAGTGGCTGAGACTGGTCTAGAAGGCAAAGAAATTTAAGTTCCTTCCTCCCTCCCTTCTTCCTTCCCTCTCTCCATCTCTGTCTCCCTCCCTTGCTCTCTTCCTTTCTCCCTTCCTTCCTTTTTTTCCTTCATTCTGTAAACATTTATTGGATGCTTATCACCTATCAGAACTTCTGCTAGGCACATGGATGCTTAAGATGACTAAGACAACACACATTCCATATCCTGCTCCTATTCCTGGCTCTCCTTCATCCTCTGTTGCTCCAGGTGAATCGAGATCAATTGTTGTGCCTCGAATGGCTGCTTGCAAGCTTTTAAGACCCTGGGCACTACGAATCGAACTAGGAGGTAGAACAGAGGCACTAAACAAGTTATTAAGCCAATTAACTGGGATGTCCCATGAAACCATGACCTTAAACCTCCAAACCAAGGAACCAAATCCCATGAGGATTTTGGTTGTACATAATCAGCCTCAGCAGCTACTCTTTCTTTCTTTCTTTGGTCGTTGTTGTAAATATATCTGTCTTAGTTATCTAGTGCTGCTGTCACAGAAATACCACAAGTGGATGGCTTAAACAAAGAGAAATTTATTCTCTCACAGTCTAGTAGGCTACAAGTCCAAATTCAGGGTGTCAGCTCCAGGGGAATGCTTTCTCCGTAGGCTCTGGAAGAAGGTCCGAGTCATCAATCTTCCCTTGGTCTGTGAGCTTCTCTGCACAGGAACCTCAGGTCCAAAGGATGCGCACTGCTCCTGGCACTCCTTTCTTGGTGGTATGAGGTTCCCTTGTCTCTCTGCTTGCTTCTCTCTTTTATATCTCAAAAGAGATTGGCTTAAGACACTATCTAATCTTGTAGATCTCATCAGTATAACTGCCGCTAATCCATCTTATTACATCATAGTGATAACATTTACAACACATAGGGAAATCACATCAGATGACAAAATGGTAGACAATCATACAATACTGGGAATCATGACCTAGCCAAGTTGACAGATATTTTTAGGGGACACAATTCAGTTCATGACAATATCTATCACACAACTTTTGCCAATTCAACTTTTTACAGGTGTACAACTTACTGACAGCAATTACATTAATCAGCTGTGCAACTGTACCCTTAATCAACTCGATTTTTCTGTCACCATTAACCCCCCACTCTTCCTCCTCCCTCTTGCCCCAGGTAACCACTAATAAACTTTGTTCTCTATACATTTGTCTTTTCTTATCTTTTTATATAAGTGAGGTCATACAGTGTTTGTCCTTTAGTGATTGACTTCTTTCACTCAGCATACTGTCTTCCAGCTCCATCCACATTGTAGCACCTATCAAGACTCCATTTCTTCTACTGACTGAGTAGTATTCCATTGTATGTATGCACCACATTTTGTTTATCCATTCATCTGTTGATGCGCATTTAGGTTGTTTCTACCTTTTGGCTGTTGTGAATAGTGCTGCAATGAACATTGGTGTACAAGTCTCTGTTTGAGTTTCTGCTTTCAAATCTTTTGGGTATATACTTAGGGGTAGATTTGCTGGGTCATATTGGGTTGCTATGAGTTGAAATTGACTCAACAGCAATGGGTTTGGTTTGGTTTTTGGTATGGTAGTTCTATTTCTAGTTTTTTGAGGAACTGTCGCACTTTTTCACAACGACCATTTTGCATTCCCACCAGCAGTGGGTGAGGGTTCCAATTTCCCCACATCCTTGTCAACACTTGTTGTTTTTTGTTTTTCATCTTAGCCATCCTAGTGGGAGTAAAATGGTATCTCATTGTGGTTTTGAGTTGCATCTCTCTGATGGCTAAAGACACTGAGCATCTTTTCATGTGTTTAGTGGCCATTTGAATTCCTCTTGGTGAAATGTCTATTCAGGTTCTTTGCCCATTTTATGATTGGGTTATTTGTCTTTTTGTTGTTTAAGTTGTTGAAGTTCTACGTATAGTGTGCCCTCTTTTAAACTGAGCACAGTGCCTGGTCTACAGTAGAAATGCAACAACTACTGGTTGAATGAATGAATAATTAAATGAATGTTGAAATAAATGCATTTCCGCCCTGTCCCTGTCATAGTCCCTCAGCTCTTGTGTTAACGCCATGGACAGGCCAGAGGGACCAACCTTGCAGCCTGAGATAAGGCCTTCGGTGGGTGTCTCCCCTATCACTCCCTCAGGGGTGATGCCTGGTGCTGGTGGAGCGCCTGCACAGATACGGACACAGGATGGGCTCTGAGTTCTCCCCGTCTGTCCGGGCCTGCTTGCCACTGTGCGCCTTAGTGCTGGAGACTGCGTTCGTTCTCATCTTCTGCTTTTTCACCTCCTACAATGATTCTGCAAATAATCAGACGCTCACGCAGAACTCTCAAGGTGAGGGGCCGGAGGGGAAATGGTCACAAAGGCAAATAGCAAGGGCAGGGAAAGGGGAGGTCTGTGGTCCTCCAGGGGCATGACTTTCCACAAAGTCTCCAAGAAAAGGCATTCTCCCATCTTCTTCTATAGATTGTGCAAAGATCCAGCCAACCATGTAGGCTCTCTTTTTAGAAGCACCCTGGGCATCACCTTTTCCATGAAGCCCTCCTAGGTTTGTCAGGGCAGAGTGAGAGGCCTCCTTTTCTAGCTTGCAGAATTCCATCTGTCAAATTGTCTTGATAATTTTTGCTTCTCTGCTTTTCCCCCACTTCTCTCTCCTTAGTGGCAAGAATTTTCATGCTGTTGTTGTGAGGGTTTTTTGTTTTTGACCTCTCTTGCTCATATTTGTACTGCCCTCTTTCTGGGAGCTTTAGTCTTGCCCTCCTCCCTCCCTGCCCCCCACCACCCCACCTCAGTCTTCTTCTCACTTAAGGGCTGGGAAGTCTGCATTCCATCTGCAACTCCAGAGAAGCCATGAGGTATGGCTCAAGTGTGTGTGTGTGTGTGGGGGGGGGGGGGGTGGGGGGGGCGTAGGATGACTGTTATTTTATATGCAGCTAAAAAAATTCCTCAGACTGTGATGAGAGCAACTGTAAACAAGACAGATGTTCACCGTGGTATGGTTTTGCTTTTTTAAAAGTTGTGATGAGTTTCAAGCATCTCAGTGGGCTGATTGTTTGTTTATGATAGTGGACAGACCTCCCTGAGCAACATCCCTGAGATAAAGCTGAAGCCTGAACCCACTGAGTGCTTGCTTGTTTCCAAGTGATGTTAACTGACTACTAAGCTGGAAGCAAACAGAAGGCACTCCAGGACCCATGATTGGGGAAAGTAGAACAACTAGATGACTCAGGGTGGGAAGCCCCTCCCCCGCCTAAGGGACTGGACCAGAAAGGGGCCCTCAGTGCTAAGCCCTGGGCACAATTTTAATTCATTTCAGTTTAATTTAGTTCTTTTCAATCCAATACAATATAATTCAATGCATTCATTCATTCAACCATGTATTAACATCCAGTGTGGAAGCCAGACACGGATTGCATAGAGCTCACATTTATTGAGCACTTACTATGTACCAGAGTCCCTGGGTGGGACAAACAGTTGAGATGCTTGGCTGCTAACCAAAAGGTTGGCTGTTCAAGCCCACCCAGAGGTGCCTCAGAAGAAAGGCCTGGTGATCTACTTCAAAAAATCAGCCACTTAAAACCTTATGGAGCACGGTTCTACTCTGATGCACATGGGGTTGCCATGAGTAGGAGTCAATTCTATGGCAACTGGTTTACTACATACCAGATAGTATTCTAAATGCTTTACATTGAATCCTCACAACAACTCCATGAGGTAGGTACTATTAGGATCTCTGTTTTTCAGATGAGGAAACCAGGCACATGGAAGTGGAATAATTTGCCCACGGTCACTCAGCTAACAATAGCAGAGTGGATTTAAATTTAGGCAACCTGCTTTAGCTTCCAAGGACTTAACCATTGTGCTTTACAGTGGGGCTGACTCACTTGTTCAAGGTAGTATAACCAGTAAGTGTAGAAGTTGCTATTCCAACCCTGTAGACTGACTCCAGGTCCTGTGCTCTTCACCCCTACTCTTTGCTGCTGGCATAAGTGTAAAATGTCCTCAGGCTCTTTGTATGGAAGTACAGAGAAGGGCTCACAACCAGGGAGGGGAGGGCGGGAGGAGATGATGGTGTCAGGGGAGACTTCTGGAGGGAGGTGACTGCCCAGCTGGGCATTGAAGGCTCAGTAGGAGTTAACCAGGTGAAAAAGGAAGGCCCTCTAGAGTGAGAGCATAGCAAAAGCTGTTGTTGTCAGGTGTGTGTGTGTGTGTGTGTGTGTGTGTGTGTGTGTGTGTGTGGCAGGAGTAAAGTCATCAGTCCATTTTGTGAAAGTGAGTTTAGTTAAACTGGGTAACTTAATCTGTCAATCCACTTAACCTAATTCAATAAATTACCAAAACCAGCCAATTCTAAAAAGTCATTTTTAAGACTATCAGGTAAATCTAAATGTAGAGTGAGTATTATGTGATAAACAGGAATTGTTATTAATTTTGTGTGGCGTCCTAAAGGACCTATCTGTTAGAGAAGCATCTGAAATGGCATGATGTCTGGGATTTGTTTTATGTCAGAAAATCCTGGAAAAAAGTGGAGAAGGATAATAAAAACAAGATTGGCCCCGTGTTACAGTCGTCAGAGCTGGAGATGGCTATGAGATTTTACCATGCTCTTCTCTCTGCCTTTGTGTATGTTTGAAATTTTCTATAATAAAGAGTTAAAAAATTAACTGCCAGTAGTTGCAATATGATGAATATGGAGAAGCACACGTCAGCCGCTTCCTGGTGGCCCTGCACTCCCTCAGGACACCTTCCAAAGCTAGCAGACTCTAAGCCCCTCTGGTAACTTGAGCAAGTGAGGGAAGGCTCCTGGGTTAATCTGAATACTGATACTTGCAGAGTTGCAAACTTCACCAAGTACCATTATAAGCAGAATAGCCTAGATCAGTGGTTCTCAAAGTGTGGTCCCCTATGAGCAGCCTCAGAATCTCCGGGGAATTTACTAGAGAATACAGATTCTCAGGCCTCAGTCCAGACCCACTGACTCAGAAACTTTGGGGATGGGGCCCAGCAACCTGTGTTTTAACAAACTCTGCAGATGATTCTGATGCAGCTGAAGTTTTAGGACTTCTGGAACTAGACTGTCTGATTCAAGTCTTGCTTCTGCCTCTTATTAGCTGTGAGACCTTGGGCAAATTACTCAACTTCTCTCTGCCTCAGTTTCAACCTCTGTCAGATGATAATAATACTTATTTCATAAATGATTGAGAGGATTAAAAGAATTAACATATAAATCCTGATAAAGAATATTAGCCTTTATTACTGTTTAGCTCTAGTTTCTTCTTCTTCTTTTTTTTTTTTAGATAAAAATAAATAAAACTAGACTTGGACTAATACTTTCTTCCAGAACCCCCTATGGATTGTCATAAACATCTTCTGAGATGTGTATTCCCTCTCTGATGACCACTGGTCTGGCTGACCTGCCATCAGGCAAAACAGGCAGGGGCAGCGGAGGAGAAGCAAGGAGACAGATTCAACAGAAATTTCGGAGCTAAAATTAGCTGTACTTGGTTAAAAAGAAGGAGAAGTCAAAGATGGCTTTAGATGTGTGATTTGGCAGATGAAGTGGCTATTGCTGAGATGGGAGATACAAGAGAAGGGGCAGATTGGTGGGGGGGTAAGTGAACAATGATATATACATTCATTCTGGGCTTGGGGTTGAGGTGCATGTGAAATGCTTCGGGGAAACAGGGTGTTTCAGTTATCTATTGTTGTGGATGTCACCCAGTGCCCCTCTACTACTCAGAGTTAGGGAGAGGGCTATTAAAAGGGAAGAGGCGCTTTCCCAGGGACATGTAAATACCCCCAACCCTGGCACCTTCCACCTTTCAACATTGAGGGGTCCCTTTGAGAAATCTCTAGTCTCTTCCCAGGCTGCTGCATGTGTGAAGGGTGAGAGTTGGAAGCTGTAGAGGAAGTGAGGCAGGGTGAGGCTCCACAGACGACTCCCGCCTGGGGCTGCAGAGTTCTTCTTAGTCCTTGGGGAGAAGGTCAAGCTCAGAGCCTGAGGGACAGAAGTTGTTGGTGCTGAGGTGTCTGCAGGCCAGAGGGAAGGGCAGTGGTGTGTGGGAGCACAGAGCCAGAATCACTTGGCAGCCAGGCTGGAGGAGGCAGCTGTCCATGTGGATGGACTCAGAAGGCTGGCACTAAAATTATCCAAATGGGCTCTTTCCAAGTAGACAGGCCCAGAGAGGGAATGGTCCTCCCAAAGCCACGCAGCTAATAAGGGCAGGCATGGGATAATAGTTACTAACACTATGCCTCGACACTGGCCCAGCAAGCTCAGTGCTCACAGCCATCCTCCAAGCAGGTACCATTATTTCTTTCCGTTTTACAGGTTAGGAAGTTGGGACACAGAGATGGAGCCAGGCTCTGAACTCTGACCACCTACATCAAAGGCCCCTACTCTTAACCATTATACTCTACGTGCTATACGGAGCACCAGGATGGTGCAGTGGTTAAACCTGCAATGTCAGTGTTCAAATCCTCCTGCCACCATAAACTAGCTGTGTGACCAGGGCTAGTTATAGCACCCCCTTGTGCCTCCCTTTCCCCATGTGTAAAGTGAGAATAATAACTAGTATCTACTGTATGAGGGGCATAGTGGTTAAGAGTTTGACTGTTAACCAAAAAGTTGGCAGTTTGAATCTACCAGGCGCTCCTTGGAAACCCTATGGGGCAGTTCTGTTCCAGTCTATAGGGTCGCTATGAGTCGGAATCGACTCGATGGCAACGGGTTTTTTTTACTGTATGAGGATGTTATGGGTTAAGGCTGTAAGGCACTTCGCACAGTGCTTGGGATGCCAAAAGCAACATATAGGAGCCTGCCGTTACAGTGATGGTTAATTATTGCCTCATCTCATGCTGCTGGACTCTCAGGTTAGACTTTTTGTCTCCGAGTCGTGGGCCTTCATAAACTTCTCCTGAAGGCCCGCCTTAGAAAGTGAAACTCCCCTTTGGCACCAAGTCATTGAGGCCTCAGTAGCACACCCGTTCCTTATCACTGCCGAACACCTTATAGCCCACTAGCTTGTCAGCCACGGGGTGCAGAGCAGGCTCCGAGAGGTGGAGGCTGACACCAAAGGGACGCCCTGAGCTGGGACCCAGCCCTGAAGCAGAGACCAGGTAGAGAGATGGGGAAGGGTGGGTGTGGGCCTAGAGCACCAGAAGGCTGAGAGAAGAAGTGAAAGGAACAGGATACAGGTGAGGCAAGAGGTCCTGAAATCAAATATTTGTTGACCAGTTTGTGAGCAATGGGCTCTGTCAACAGCTTCTAGAAACTGCCACTCTAATGTCATCCTCCTGGCTGAAGCACGGCTCTTGCCTAGGGTACAGTTGGAGCCTCAGGGAGGGAGGTCCCAAGCTCCTATACATGGAAGCAGGGTGGCAGCTGTGCCTGACGAAGCCCCCCCACCCTTGATTCTCTGACTTCCGGATCCTCGGGGCTCACTTCTGCCCAATCCTGGTGCCCTTCTCTCCTTGCCTTCTCACTAACTCCCCGTGCAGAATATGCCAGAGCTGTAAAGGCCTTAGAGTATCCAGTCCAACTCCCAGGTGTTATGGATGGGGAAACTGAGGACCCGAGAGGGCAAAGGACTTGCCTATGGTCCCTCCGGGAGAACAAGAGTGAGAGACAGCCTGGCCTGGTGGAAGAGCCCTATACCAGGAGTTCAGAGCTTGGCTCTGCTGCTGACATGCTGTGTGGCCTCGAGGAAGTCACTGGTCCTCTCTGGTTCCCTTCATTACAATGAGAGGAAAATGGACCACCAAGGGGCCTCCCGACTCATGAACTCTTCAGTAAGTCTAGACCCTATGTGGATAGTGTTGCTACAAAATGGCAGACATGTTTTATTCAACAGCACAGAGTTTAATAAAAGTTTGAATATGAACATCTAAAGCAATTGGGAGGGGAGGGTGTGCAGTCTCTGATTAGCCACAGGCCTCATCACTCCCAAAATGGACATTGACTCTTCACACACGTAGTTTCCTGCTTGGCTCCTGAAGGAATCTGAGCCATCCCAAGAGAAATTCTTATACAAATGTGCCCTGTCCACTCACTCCCACCCCCATTCTTAAAAGGATGCAAGCAGGAGACCAAAACATTCCCTGCACCCACTTTCTCCCCTCTTCCATGTAAGAGGAGAGGGTGTAAGGAGTTGAATCTCCTTTATGCCCACTTCTCACCCACCTCTTAAATCCTTAGGCCCGTAGAGGTCCTTGGGGGCCTTCTCCATCCTGGAGCTAGCTGTCAGATTGGTTTGGTAACATCAACACCCACCCAAACCTTATGTGCCAGGCTCTGGGGATGCCTATTTTTTAAAGAAAGTGAGTTTAAATGGACTCTGAGATCTAAGGAGCTTTCTGCGACTTTGGAGAGTTCCAGTAAAGAGAGCTTCCTCATCTTTATCGGAGCCAGGACTGGAGGGCGGTGGCAAGCGAGTTCTCACTGCTGTGATCGCCATCGTGGCGATAATGATGAATAGCTGCCATTTACTGAGCATTCCCCAGGTTCCAGGCACTGTACCAAGCGTTTGAACAAAACATTATTTCCTTCAGATCTCACACACCCTTTGAAGTGGGTATAATTGTCCTTATTTAGCTGATGAGGAGAATAAGCAACCTACAGGGCCACACAGCTATGAGGTTGAAACATATAAATTGCCATTGTTATAGGTCAAAATGATCAAGGGTTGGCAATTTAATATGGTTCAATCTAATGGGAAATGATAGAGCTGGGATCAAAACAGAACTGTCTGCCAGTGCTTAGGGGACACTGAGCTTCTGGTAAGGGTGATGGAAAAATTCGGGAATAGTTATTGGTGATGGTTAAACTTGATAAACATATACAATGTCACTGAACTATACCTGTGCAGATTGTTGAAATGGCAAATGTTTTGTTGCCTATATATTTCCCACAACAAAGAAAAAAAAAAAAGAAGAGATGCTTTCTAACAAAAATTTAACTTTTACATGAAAATAAATATCTACCAAATTTTAATATAAAAAATAACTGTCTGAACTAAAGCCCATGATTTTTTCTTTTTTTACATGCTGATTATAGAAAATGTAAGCACTGAAAGTATAGACAGTCAAAAATCTCCCAAACCGAGGGACAATATCCACTGAAAGAAAAAAAAAAAAAAAAGAAGAAGTCTTAAAGACCTCTCCCCAGACACTTATGGTGTTGTTAGGTGCTGGCGAGTAGGTTCCAACTCATAGCAACCCCATGTACTACAGAATGAAACACTGCCTGGTCCTGCACCATCCTCAGAATCATTGTTGTTTGAGCCCATTGTTGCAGCAGCCACCGTATCAATCCATCTCATTGAGGGTCTTCCTCTTTTTCACTGACTCTCTACCAAGCATGATGTCCTTCTCCAGCGACTGATCCCTCCTGACAACATGTCTAAAGTATGTATAAGACATACTCTTGCCACCCTTGCTTCTAAGGAGCATTCTGGTTGTACTTCTTCCAAGACTGACCAGTTCGTTCTTTTCGCAGTCCATGGTATATTCAGTATTCTTCACCAACACCGTAATTTAAAGGCATCAGTTCTTCTTCAGTCTTCCTTACTCATTGTCCAGCTTTTGCATGTATATGATGTGACTGAAAATACCATGGCTTGGGTCAGGCAAACCTTAGTCTTCAAGGTGACATCTTTGCTTTTCAACCCTTTTAAGAGGTCTTTTGCGGCAGATTTGCCCAACGCAGTGTGTCTTTTGATTTCCTGACTGCTGCTTCCATGGGCGTTGGTTGTGGATCCAAGTAAAATGAAATCCTTGACAACTTCAATCTGTTCTCCATTTCAGGCATTTATACATGTGCAAAACTAGCTCGTGTTTATTGATAAAATAACATTTACAGTTCTGAGCAATTACATGCATTATACTGTTTGATTCTGGCAAGTCTCTAAGGGAGGTACGATTATTTTTACTATTTAACAGATGAGAAAGCTAAGAGGGGCAGATAGTATGGTGGGTAAAGGCACAGCCTCCAGAACAGACTAGAAAAAAAAAACAACCCAAACCCATTGCCTCTGAGTCAGACTATCTAGGTTTAAATCCTGGCTCTACTAGCTTGGACAAGTTACTTCTCTGCACCTCAGTTTTCATATCTGTAAAATGGTGATACTAACAGCACCGCTTCGAAGGGCTGTTATGAGAACTAAATGAGATAGTCTGTTTAAAGTGATTAAAACCGTGCTGGCACATGGTAAACACTTAACAAATGTAGGCTGTTACTAAAGCTCAGAGAGGTTAAGTAACTAGGTCAAGACCACACATGTAGAAAGTGTCAGAACCCTGATTTAAATCCAAGCCTGTCTAGTTCTCAACCCAGGCTGGTAACCATTTTTCAAAGCTGGAATTCAGTCAAAGCCTCCACCCTTTTCTACGTTGGGCCCTCCCTGCACCAGGTAAGGCTCTAACCGTGCCTCCACTCACCTGCCACAGCAGCCTCTGCTCAAAGTCTGAAGCCAGGAAAGGTGTTGCTGTTGTGAAGTGCTGTCAAGTCGGTTCCGACTCATAGCGACCCTATGCACCACAGAACGAAACACTGTCCGGTCCTGTGCCATGCTCACAATCGTTGTTATGCTTGAGCCCATTGTTGCAGCCACTGTGTCAGTCCATCTTGGTGAGGGGCTTCCTCTTTTTCACCGACCTTGTACTTTACCAAGCATGACGTCCCTCTCCAGGGACCGATCCCTCCTTGACAACATGTCCAAAGCGAGTAAGATGTAGTCTCGCCATCCTTCCTTGTAAGGAGCATTCTGGCTGTACCTCTTTCAAGACTGATTTGTTCGTTCTTTTGGCCATCCATGGTATATGGGTGATGATCACCCAAATGGCACTGTGCTTTCCACTGGCCCATCGGGTCCTTCACAGCAAGTGGCAAAGGGAGAGAGCCATTTTCTATAAAGATACTTTGGTTCTTGCCAAAGAGGTTATGGGCCTGCCTCTGCCCCCTCCTCCCTGTGTGGCCTGGGGCAGGTCACTTGGCTTCTCTGGCTTTATTTTCTCATGTGTATGATAAGGGAGTTGAATCTGATCGACAATAACTACCATAATTACATTTACTGAGTGTCGCTTATGTGCCAAGCACTGGTCCCAATGTTTTGTTAGATGCTGTCTAGTCAATTCTGACTCATAGTGACCCCATGTGACAGAGTAGAAGTGCCCCATAGGGTTTTCCAGGCTGTAATCTTGAGTTGGAATGAACCTGAGGGCAATGGGTTTCGTTTTTGTTTTTTTTTAAATCTTTCTGGGAGGAGGTTGCTGGGTCTTTCTACGCTGGAGCCTCTGGGTGGGTTCTTACCACCAACTTTAGGTTAACATCTGAGCACTTAACCATTATGCTAGCAGGGCTCCTTTACCCTAGTTGACATCACTACATTTAAAAATAAGAACAATTGCTACATTTACTGAGCACTCACTATGGGCCAGACCCTGCCTTAATTGATTAACCAGCATTAGCTCATTTCATCCTTAGCCCAACCCTGCAGGGTATGTATATATTATCACCCTCATTATTCAGATGAGGAAACTGAGGCTCAAAGAGGTGAAGCAACTTGACCAAGGACAGGTAAAAACTCTAATTTCACACAACCCTCCACGTTGTCTGCTGCCTCCTCCTCCTCCTTCTCAACCTCTCCCTGCACAGTCTTCCAGGATATTACCATCATGGCGGCCCTTGGCTTGGGCTTCCTCACCTCGTCTTTTCCAAAAAATAGCTGGAGCAGTGTGGCCTTCAACCTCTTCATCCTGGCCATCGGGGTGCAATGGGCAGTCCTGCTGGATGGCTTCCTGAACAAATTCTCAAGTGGGAAGATAGTCATCGAACTGTCCAGGTAACCGGATGGCGGCTCTTGGGTTCTTGAGGATGTGAGGCCCGAAAGGATGGGTTCTAGAAGAGTTGGGATGTCCCCCTCTCCTTCTAGCACCGGTACCATACATTATTTGGGACCTACTTATGCTAAAAAAGTATCGGTTGTTTATATGAAATTCAAATTTGACTGGGAATCCTGTATTTTATCTGGCAACCCTATTTCTGTGGCCTCACTGGGGGCCACACCTACAGCCCTCCCTGGATTCTTCCTTTCTTTATTATTGCTTATGATTTTGTAAAGTTATGCAATCAATACAGCTTCATGGAAAAATCAAGAGATCAAGATTAGATAAAAAGACATAGCAGCGTCATACCCAGAGAAACAGTCTCTTGAAAAGAAGAAATATCCATTCCTTTAAATTAACTCTGATCCATTTATATGCATGTATACTAACTCATGGTGCTAGAAGTCAGAATAGTGGTTACCTGGGGGGAAAGGATAGTTATTGACTAGGAAGGGCCACAAAAGAGCATTATGGGATGCAGTAAATATTCTCTATCTTAACCTGGTGGTGGTTACACCGAATCCGAACCCGTTGCCATGGAGTCAATTCCAACTCACAATGACCCTACAGGACAGAGTAGAACTGCCCCATAGGGTTTCCAAGGAATGCCTGGTGGATTTGAAATGCTGACCTTTTGGTTAGAAGCCAAACTCTTAACCAGTACCCCACCAGGGTTTCCACAGGGCTATGTATAAAAATTCATCAAGTTGTACATTTTAAAAAGGCACCAGCACTTAATAGAAAAGCTTGGTAAAATTTTTCCTTAAAAATTGTTCTTTGTTTTATCCAACTCTGAATCTCTGAATCTGCTCAGATGATGTTAAATCCCATCTTAGGCATTTTAGGGACCCTGTCCCTTTTCAAGGTTGCCTAGCGCTCTCCTCTGAGACCCTGCCAACCCTCTGGGCCGTGCTGCTGAACATCTCTCCATGAGCCAGGCACTGTGCCAGGCACTTTACAAACATACCCAGGTAGGGGTATAACCTGGTCAAAGGTAAGAAATGGAGGCTCAGAGACAGTAAGGCACTTACTTATGGTCACACAGCTCAGTGTTGGAGATGGCTTCTGAGCTTTTACCTACCCTGCAACCCTCCCCACCCACTCCAGAGTTGTGAAGCAAAATGCAGACCAGCCAGCTCCCCATTGTCCCTGAAAATAAACTCTCCACATTTTTCCTTTCTAAAGATTTCAGGGCTAATACCCAGGGCGATTGGATAACCTGAGTAACCCCTGAGGAAGTGACAAAGAGCACCAACTCTGGGGAATCCTGACCTTGGCGACAGCCTAGTTTGGCATTCCTGTCACCCTGGCTTAGAAGAAAGGTCACAAAAGCCTTCAGCCTCCTGCTGAAGAACAAGACAACTTGGTAGTCTTAATAAACCAAACCAAAGTACTTGTCAAGTCACTTCCGACTCATGGGAACCCCATGTGTGTCAGAGTAGAACTGCGCTCCATAGGGTTTTCAGTGGCTGTGACCTTCTGGAAGTAGATCACCAGGACCTTCTTCTGTGCCACCTCTGGGTAGGTTCAAACCGCCAACTTTTCAGTTAGTGGTCTAGCATTTAACTGTCTGTGCCACCCAGGTGTTACCCAAATAGGGTCCGTGCGGTGGAGCAGTCTAGCCAATGACACATACTCCAGGTCAGAAAGAGTGAGAAAGTTTTATTTTAGGAGGTATACACCACCGGGGATCCGACAGCAACGCAAGCTGTCTCTATGGAGTCCCAAAAGGCATTTTTACATTAGAGCTTATATATGATTTTTACAAAGGTTAGAAGTGTTGTCATTCATTACAAGGTAATTACAAGAGACTTTTTATCATACTAAAGAGATACATGCCAGCCATTTCCCTACCAGGCTAAAGATATACATATCTGACACCTAGGCTCTAATCTTCCTGTGGAGGAGCCTAAGCCACAGGTGACCTGACTGAGCAAAACAAAGTCATTAACAAAGGTTTGCGAAAAGGAGAAGGCAAAGAAAAAAGAAAAAAAAAACTTATAGGTTCATCATGGCGTTAGCTTTGTCAAGCTCTCAGTTGCCCATTTTGAAAAGGAGAAAACATGCTGGAGAGTATTAGGGTCACACAGGGACTCCAGTAATCTTAACAGCCAGGGGTGTCGCAAGCTGCTTCCTATTTGACTCTCCCCTTCTGAAGTCCCCTCCTGTTTGCTCCTAATTCAAGAAGACAAAACAGGGCCTTTCGAGCCCAAGTCATCTCCCTTGTCCCTGTCTCTGAACACCCGGATCCAGCCAGCTGTGACCCCCTCTGGGACTGGCTTCATAGATTGAACAATGGGCTCCTTCCTGACTGGGTTCCTGCCAGGCTAGGGCTGAAGGGCAGTGACCAGGCCTACCTCCAGGGACAGGGCCACACCCCCTTGTGCCGCCTGAACTTGGCACTGAATTGGTTCTGCCTTGAGTCAGGGACGGTCAGTTCCTTCATGGCAGGGCCTTGTCTTATTCATCTTTGTCCTCCTTTGTTTTTAATCACTTAGTAAATTGTTCTTGGAACAAAAAGGAAGATAAAAGGAACCGCTCAATGGTGTGATTTTTTTTTTTTTTAATGCTGTATTTGGAAAGGTCCAAGAGGGCTCCCTTCAGAAGATAATAGCAGTAACCAAACTTCTTATTGTTCTTTAGGTATAGTAACTCGTTTCACCCTCACAACAGCTCCGTTGGTGTTGTCTCCTCCTTGTAGAGAGGTCATAATCGAGGCACAGAGTCGTTCAGTAATTTGCCCAAGGACACACAGCCAAGAATTGGCTGAGTCAGGATTCTAACCCAGGTAGTCTGGCCCTGAGACTGCACTCCTAACCACTGTGATTCACTATCTCAGCATCTCCCCAGCTGGCCCCTGAAGTCTCAAATGCCACCACTGGCACACACCCTTTGCCATGGCGCCTTTTCAATTAAGTGAGCAATCACTGGAACAGGCATAACACGTCGAGCCGTGACGAAACATTGAGTGGTGCCTTGTTCTAAATAATTCCCGGTCCTTGTAAGACCCCCCTTCGCCTGTCCTTCGCCCTCCTCTGGCCTTCCCCCTGAAGTCCCTGAGCCCTGAGCAGGACAGTGCTTTGGCAGCAAACACTGGGGAGCCTTCAGCTCTGGGTCCAGGCCAACTGGGCTTGAGCTTCCTGTTTGCCATCAAGTAGCCGTGTGGCCATTGCCAAAAGAGTCACCTCACCTAGTGTCAATGCACTCTTGTATAAAACAAGGGTACTGAATGGAACCCCGGCACCATTTTATAGGGGGTCCTCAGAGGATTAAAATTTAAATGAGGTGATGTAGGTACCAGCCTATTATATGTAACACTGTATAAATTACCATTGTTGTGGTGTTTGAAGAATCCTCATTTTCCCAGGGGGAGTAGGAGCCTCAGAAGAAGGTGCCCCGGGGAGAGTGGGTTGGTTTAATCACCATGGATTGGCTCATGGTGTCAGCCTTGTCTCCCCAGCTGGATCATAAGCACCTTGAAGACAAAATTATTTTCTCCTCCTGATTCCCTACGCTGAATATGCTCATTTGTCAGGGAAGGAAGGACTCAGTAACACCAGTCCCAGTTGTCATTGAGTTGATTTAGGCTTATGATGACCCCAAGTGTTGCAGAGTAAAATTGCACTCCACAGGGTTTCCATGGTTGTGACCTTTCGGAAGCAGATCGCCAGGCCTTTCTTCTGAGATGCCTCTGAGTGGGTTCAAACTGCCAGCCTTTCAGTTAGCAGCTGAGTGCTTAACTGTTTGAAGCACCCAGGAAATATATAGGTAAGAGTAGTAATCATATCAGTGTCCATTCATGAGTAGTTCATGAGTTAGTTCTTTGTGTGAGTCATGGTGCTAGATATACATGCACCAATATTCACTCTAATCCTCACACCACCAGCATAAGCTAAGTACTGTGATAAGTATTATTGTCATACTTACTTTACAGAAAAAACAGGTTTGAGGAGGCTATATAAATAGTTGCTCAAGTGGAAAAAACTCAGCTTCCTTCCACTACCGTGAATAGGGAGGGGAGAGACAATGGCCGTGGATGGGGATGGCCGTGACTGAATGGCAGGTGGGCCGGCAGGTGAAGAGCGCCCTCTGTTGAGCACCTGTGAGTGATGACAGTAGAAGCTGTGGGCAGAATCCCCATTGCCGGATCTCAGAAGGGGGCCCTGCGTGAACAATCAACCTCCTTAACTCATCCTGGCACCTTGTGTGAGAACCTCAGTGCATCTTCAGTGTGGATGAGTATGTGCAGATCAATTACTCAGAGTTTAGCTGCCACCCTGATGGGGAAGGGGACGAAAGAAACTCCAGACTGTGCAGTATCAGCCCCCATGTGGGCAGAAATCTCCTAATGTGTCTCCAGTGCCAGACATAGAGAAGGCACTCAACAAATGTTCGTTAATGAAAGAATGAGAGGACATCCTTCCTTCTTTGTCATGTCTCTCTCTCTCCACCAGTATTCAACTGGCCACCATGAGTGCCATGTCCGTGCTGATATCAGTGGGCGCTGTCCTGGGGAAGACCAACTTGCTGCAGCTGATGATGATGGCGCTGGTAGAGGTGACAGCCTTCAGTGTCATGATGATGGTCAGTGATCGAGTCTTCAATGTGAGTCATGGCACCATGAGGGTGGACCTTGGGGGAAGGGTAAGGAGGGGGAGAGTGGGGGGCTGCCACCTCCATTTTGTGTGGCTTCTGGATTGTAAAAAAAATTAAAACGGTCCCAAATGAGGTTATAAAATGTAGTCTGCGCAAAATGTTTAAACACAGTGAATTGATGCTCTTAACTTTCAAGACGCGATAATTTAGGGTTGTGCTATTGATAAGATACTTATGAAATGTATAAAAAAGTAACTAATTCTCTTGGCCCTAAAGGCAGCAGAGCTGTCTAGCTGTCCGATGGGTGTCTTCTTTCAATCGCGTCAGTGGGTCAGTAACTGTACGTGTGATCTCATTAGGAGAGATTGTCAAGGCTTAAGTTTGGGGCCATTCGAGAAAGTGAAACCAGTCACCAGTTGCTGTCAAGTCAATTCCAATTTATGGCGACCCTGTGTGTGTCAGAATAGAACTGTACTCCATAGGATTTCTTTCTTTTAAAAAAAAAAAAAATCTCACTGTGTTCTCAGTGAAGGTTTACACATCAGTTTAGGTTCCCATTCAACTATTTCAACAGAAATTGTTCAGTGACTCCATAGGGTTTTCAATGGCTCATTTTTTGGAAGTAGATCTCCAGGCCTTTCTTCTGAGGTGCCGCTGAGTGGACTCAAACTGCCAACCTTTCAGTTAGCAGCCAAACACATTAATCCTTTCCACTACACAGCAACTCCCTGTGAAGGTGATACCCGGCCAAATGACCCTCCCAGCTCCCCTGCCCTAGCCCTGACCCTGAGTGATCACATGGTTGACATCCTCATCTCATAGAGGAGAAAGCTGATGCCCAGAAAGGGAAAGGGATTGCCCAAATCACACAGCAAGGTAGTGGAAGAACCAGGTGGGAGCCCAGAGCCCCAGTATGGTTTCAGAGAAAGAACACTGGACTGGAGTCAAAGACAGGGATTTGCATCCCAGTTCAACCACAAACCCCATGGGACTCTGGGCAATGTAACCTTCAGTGTCTTCATCTGTAATACAAAGGTAACATTACTACCTTATAGGGGTCTGCGGTCAGTTGAATTAATTAAACAAGATGGTACCAACAAGAGCAAGAACAACAACAACAAAAAACCATTGTCTTCAAATCGATTCTAACTCATAGCAACTCAATGCGTTAACAGAGTAGAACTGCTCCATAGGGTTTTCTTGGCTGTATAATCTTTACAGATACAACAACAATCTTTACAGAAGCAGATCACCAGAGCTTTCTTCAGCAATGCTGCTGGGTGGGTTTGAAGTACCAACCTTTTGGTTAGTGGTCGAGCGCAGACTGTTTGTGCTATCCAGGGACCTTAAACAAGACGATACATGTGTTTAAAAAGTATAAGCCCTCTTTACTGTCCCTCAATATGCCATAGTAAGGACTTTAGATTTTACTCTGAGAAATACAGGGAGCATTGGGGAGTTTTGAGCATACAAGAGACAGGATCTGATTCATGTTTAAGAGAATCTCTCTGGCTGCTGGGTTCAGAATAGACTGAAGCAGGCAAGAGTGAAAGCAGGTGGAAACCAGAGAGGAGACTGCTGCAATCATCCAGGCTTGGAAGCCATGGCAAGTGGCTGGACTCTGGCTGCATTTTGAAGGCAGAACTGACAGGATTTGCTGATGGATTGCACATGGCATATGAAAAAAAGAGAAAAGTCAAAGATGACTCCAAGGTTTGGCTCCTGAGCAACTGGGTGGATGACGGTGCCATTTACCAAGATGGGGAGCATTGGGATAGAGTAGATCTGGGAGGAAAAACCCAGAATTCAGATTTGAATGCAGTAGGGTTAGGGTTAAGGTGAGGGTTAGGGATAGATGTACATTAGGCATCCCAGTTGAGAAGTTGTGTGGGTACCTACAGAAAACGCCCTTATTGCCTGCTCCCAGGGTGGCCTGCTCCCTCCACCCTCCCCTTGTTACACTGCTGCTGGGGGTAAGAGCAGTCCAGGCAGCAGGATAGCCCGTGCAAAGGCCCTGAGGTGGAAGTATACCTGGTAGGTTTGAGAGAGGAGGACGGTGTGTCTGGAGTGGAGCAAGGGGAGTAGGAAGTGAATTACAGAGGTTAGGGGAGAGCAGATCATGCAGGTCCTACAGGTCATAGCAAGAAGCCTGACTTTTATGTGGAGTGTGATGGGAACCACTGGAGGATTCTAAGCAGAGAAGTGACATGGTCTGACTTACTTTTTTTTTATTTCACATTTTTCCCAATGTGTCAACATTCTCTTTAATTCCATTCTGGTTGTTCTGTTCCCATTACCCTAGTTTCCCTGCCCCTTTATCTTCTCATCTTTGGTTTACAGTAATTGTTGACCTTTTGGTCTCATATAGATGTTTTTTTAATGGAGCACCATACTTAAAGGTGATAGCCTTTATTTTGTGTGCCAAAGTATTTCACTAAAAGGTGACCTCAGGGGATAGTTTTGGTTCAAGGTTTAAAAAGTATCTCTGGGCAGTAGTCTCAGGGAGTCCTCCAGTCTCAACTGGTCCAGTAAGTCTGGACTTTTAAAGAATTTGAGTTCTGGCCCACATTTTTTTCCCCCATTCTATCAGGGTCCATCTATTGTGGCCCTGATCACAATGGTCAGTATTGATAGCCGGGCACCATCTAGTTATTCTGGTCTTAGGGTAGATGAGGCTGTGGTTCGTGTAGGCTATTAGCCCTGTAGACTAGTTTCTTCTCGGAGACTTTGGTGGTCTGACTTACATTTTACCAGAATCACCATGGCTGGTGCATGGAGACTAACTGGTAGGAGGACAAGTATGGAAACAGGGAGGCCGGTTAGGAGGCTCGTGCAATAATTTGGGGTAGTGTTAGTGGTGGCTCAAACCAAGGTGGTGTCAGTGGGGAGAGGTGGTAGAAATCCTGCCAATTCAGGATAGTTTTGGAGGCACAGGCTACTTTACCAGTCGCCCATTAAGTGCGTTATTAAGAATTACTACATTTGATATTCATAAAGCAAAATCAGCATACATTTGGAATTTCCTGAGGACTTTAGTTCAGTATCATAAGGAATTCTGGCTGCTTTGTGTTGCGAAGTTTATACACTCATGCCTCCGTGTAAAGAGTTGGAGTTTCACTAAAAAGTAGGAAACAGTGCGGGGCATGTCCATGTGCCTTTTTGCCCCACCTAAGTGGACCTCTGTCACAACCATTTAGGAGCTCCTGATAACAGAGTCCCTGGATGGTGCAAATGGTTAAGCGCTCAGCTACTAACAAAAAGGTTAGCGCTTTAAACCCACCCAGAGGCACCTCAGAAAAAAGTCCTGGTGATCTATTTCCAAAAGATCACAGCTATTGAAAATCCTACGGAGCAAAGTTCTATTCTGACATGCATGGCATCGCCATGAGTTGTAACCGACTCGACCCCAAATGGTTTGATAAAGGCTCGCTAGTGACTTCCCTGGAGTAAGTTCAGGGCTCCCCATGGGGCTTCTCCGAAGAGGGGACGCCTGCTGGGCTGGGGAAGCTCTGAACACCAGCCTCATGACTTCAAGTCCCACCCTCTGCGTGACACGCGGCGCTCTCCAAGAAACACGAGAGGTTTGCGCATGGGCAGAGGGGGCTGACACTCATTGCTCCCGCTGGGTTTTTGCAGGTGGACAACCACACGAGCATGATGCACATCCACGTGTTTGCAGCCTATTTTGGGCTGGCTGTGGCCTGGTGCCTCTCAAGTTCTCAGCCCAAGGAAAAGCAGAGGGAAGTTAAGACTGCAAAGGGCCCTGATTTGTTCGCCATGCTGGGTAAGAACAAGGTGGGGTGGGTGGTCTCATACCTTGGCTGAACTGAGAGGCTCAAAAAAGGCTCTTTTGAAAAAAATCTCCCCTTTACTCACTTGCGCTGGGTGTCTAAAAGCCCCCATAATGACTCACTTCTGAGAGTAGTGTTGGTTGAATTCATGCCTTTAATCAGGCATTTCCTTCTAGAGACCTCTTTTTATTAACATCCAATCGAGAGGAGAGACTGGTTACATTTGAGTTTAAATAAGTTTATCCAATCCTTTTGCCCTCAACTGAAAGGAGGGAATTGGACAAGTAAAGAAAGTGGGTCCCAGAGTGGATGGAGGAACAGGTGGGAGAAGGAAGAGAATAGGAATAATGTATTTTGAAAAGCTGCAGTGAAAATGATGAACTTAAGCTGCTGGGAGAGGCTTAGAGAAAATCCAGAAGTGAGTGCAACAGCAGGTGAATGAATATCAGGCCACGGGGCCAAATTAAAGTGGCCCATTAATTATTTAAATAAGCATTCGGCCATCACAGACCAGGGTCAGGAGGCCTACGATTTGGTGATTTTAGGTCTCTGGGCCTTAGTTTCCTTGTCTGTAAAAAATGCCAACTACTTCCTACCATCTGGAGAATTGAGAGAGGAGATGCGACTTGCCCAAAGTCACATAGCTAGAAAGTGAGGAAGTCAGTCATCCCCGGAGGCTCAGCATCTGCAGCTCCCGGAGGCTCAGAACTTTGGAGCAGGAGAGGTGATTCTGGCCAGTGACCCTCAGTGACCCTCTCTGACCTCCAGGCACTCTCTTCTTGTGGATTTTCTGGCCAAATTTCAACTCTGCTCTGCTGTCCATTGAAAACAAAAGAAAAGCCGTGTTCAACACCTACTACGCCCTCGCGGTCAGTTCCGTCACAGCCACCTCGGTGTCGGCCGCGGCTCACCCCGAAGGGAAGATCAGCATGGTGAGGAGGGGGTCAGGGAAGGCGGCCTTGGTCCCTCTAGGCCTGACACACATAGTCTCCCCCTCACCCCCATCCTCAGTGCCAGCCCCACAGGTTGGGAAAGAGCTTGCCCAGCATCTGAGGTGCCCAGTGTATCATGGAGCATCAGGAAGAGCACCAGGCTGTCAAAATGGGCACTGGAATTTAGGAAACTGTGACATGATCAAAGGCTCTCTGGGGAGAGATTGACTCATGAGCTTTGAGTTCAAACAGACCCAAGTCCGAACCTTGTGATTTCCAGTTACTAAAGCCAGCTGCCATGAGCAAGTCAGCAGAAAAAACAAGAATAGAATTAGTCTCCTCCTTTCCCCCAAGAAATTTCAACAATGGGATTTTCAGAATCAGAAGTAAAGAAGTCGGTTACACTAGCCATGTGACCTTTGTCAAGCAACTTAACACTTTTTGAGCCTCGACTGCCTCATCTGTAAAGTGGGAATTAAGAGAAAATGCATGGAATGTGCTTAATGTAAAGTAAGTGCTAGGCAAACATTAGCTGCTGTTATTAATATAGCTGGGGGACCGTGTGTGAGTTTGGTGGGGAGAGAACAGTGAGAAGTTAGTTAGAGCTGAAGACAAAACAAATTCCCATGATAATTCGGGAATGGGGTTGGCCAGCCAGAGGTGGTAGGGAAATGTCTGGACAGACAGGGGTCCTGGTGTGGACAGAATGTGGCCACAGATGACAGGTTAACAGCATGTGCCCAGCACTGAGGGGAGGTGGGGATCCCCACCGGTGACCTCCGTGGTTGACAGCGAGTCTAGGAGCAGGAAAGGTGGGGACATCTAGAAAGGCAGGTGAAGGCATCAGACCAGGGACGTTCAGCAGCTGGCTGTTGTTGTTAGCTGCTGTCAAGTTGGCTCCAACTCATGGTGACCTTACATAGAACAGAACAAAATGTGGTCCAGTCCTGCAGCATTCTCACAATTGTTGCTGTGTTTGAGCAACAATTATTACAGCCATTGTGTCAATCCATCTCACTGAGGATCTCCTTCTTTTCTGATACTGGTCCCAGAGCCCAAAGTCCCAACACCTGGTTAGAGTTGGGGGTAGGGGCAGGATAAGAGCAAGGCAAGGCCCCAGTTCTAGAAGAATGAAGGGTATGGCAGAGATGTGATCCAGGAACAAGGCAGAGCTATTGGAACTGGGTCCAGTCATATGGAGTGGTGTAGCACCAAGTAGCCAATAATAATAATGGAAAATAATAATGGCTTATGTTTCTTGGGCATTTACTCATGTTCAATGCCAGGCACTATGCTAAGGGCCATACATGTGGTAATTCATTTAATCCTTACAAACAACTCTATCCAGTAGGTACAATCACAACGCCATTTTTCTGGTGAGAAAATTGAGGCGTTGAGAGTTTAAGTGCCCAAGGACACATCACTAATAAGTGTGAGGGATGGCAAGGGTACTGAGTAACCTGCACTTTCAAGCTGATTCCTAATGCTTCCCAATCAGGGTAACTTCTCCTTGAGCTGAGGGGGGGTGTGTGTGCGTGAGATAAGCCCATTGATGAAGGTCACGAGTCCCAACCAAGGGGACAGGATGGTTTCAGGATCAGTGAAGCAAGGAGGACATTACAGCTTTGCCTTGCTATCAGCTTGCTGAGTACTTTGGGCAAGATGTCATCCACTCTATGTCTCACTTCATTCACCCACAAGCTATTTCTTTGCAGACTCATATCCACAGTGCTGTGCTGGCGGGAGGCGTGGCTGTGGGTGCCTCATGTCACCTGATCTCTTCTCCTTGGCCCGCCATGCTGGTGGGCCTTCTGGCTGGGCTGATCTCTGTTGGGGGAGCCAAGTGCCTGCCGGTAAGGAACTGGGCAACTCACATCCTCTGCTTTGGTTTAGACCAGCAAGACCCCTGGGATCATGGTGGGCCATCATGTGGTGCTATGGGCTGCATTGGGCAGGTATTGGCACCTTCTCAAGTTGGCTTCAAAGCCTGGGTGAGTGACCTCCCCAGGTTGGATGATGCATTTGTTAGGAGGCCGGGGAGCAAGTAACAGAATGCATTCATGCTAGCTCAGGCATAAGGAAGAGATTTGTTATAAGCCCACTGAGTGTCACAGATCCCAAGGATAGGGAAACTGATGGGACCCAGGAATGGCTGGCACCAGGGACTGGATTGCTGTGGGGAAATCCCTGCTCTACCTCTTTCTTTGCTTTTCTCTGAATATCTTCTTCATTCTCACTCTGTTGTCCTCCTTTCTCTTCTTCCAGTCCACATGGTGGACTGTAGCCCTTGTCTTCAAGAAAGCAGACAGGTGGAATCATCCATCCATCCACCCATCCTTCCATCCATCCATCCATCCATCCATCCAACACACGTGTTTTAATACTTATACTGCTTTCTAAGGTATAGTTTAAAGAGGAAAATAAACACAACACAGTGTGATAACTGCTACAGGAGCACATCTAAACTAGCTTTGGGCAGGTGAAGAAATGCTCCCCAGAGCAGAGAATGTCTCAGCTGAGTGTTGGCAAATAAGTAATATTAGCCAGGTAAAGAAGGGGGAAAATATATTCCAGGGGGAAGGAACAGCATGTACAAAGACTCAACAGTGAGAAGGGCATGGGACCCAATAGGAAACAGAAAGAAGTTCTTATGGCTTAAGCATAGGGTTCAGGGGGAACATGGTGGAACCAGAGCCTCAAGAGATGGAATGGCTCAAGTATATCTCCTGGGCCAGCTGACAGGTCTGGATATTTATTCTGAAGACAATGAGGTTTCTAAGGAGGGAACCAGCAGGATCAAATTTGTATTTGTGTTGGCACCTATTGGGTCACAGCCATCTGGGAGGCTAAGTGGTGAGGCGGAAGGAACACTGAACTAGGAGTCTGGAGGTGTGGTCAGATTCTTTTCTTCTGACTTTTCTTCCAACCAGCCATGTTGCCTTTGGGATGGCATTTAAGGTTGGGCTAGACCAGTGGGTCTCAGCCAGGGGTAGTTTGGCAATGTCTGGAGACATTTTGAGTTGATATATCTCAGAGGGCAGGAGATATGCTACTGACATCTAGAGGTAAAAACTAGGGATGCTGCTAAACATTCTGCAATGCACAAGACACTACAAGAAAGGATTATCAGTCCAAAATGTCAATAGTGCCTGGGTAGACCCTTGCTACTCAAAGTGTGGTCTGTGAACTAGCAACATTGGCCTAACCTGGGACCTTGTTAGAAATGCAGACTCTCAGGCAACACCCTAGACCCACTAAATCCAACTCTGCATTTTAACAAGATCTCAGGTGATGTGAGTTCACATTCAAGTCTGAGAAATACTTCTTTAGGTGAGTCCTAGTGCCCATCTCCCTTTGGTGGCCCTGGATGCCAGGGATCTGTGAAAAGGGTGGGTAGGGATTATCAGTCTCACCTGCAGACCTACTTATGCTGATGTTTGTCCCCAGGTGGGTTTTCACCGTATGCTGATGGTTCACTATGCCTTTGGCCTGCCGGGTTTGCTTGGAGAGATCACCTACATTACGTTGATGGCGCTTCAGGCCTCCCAGAACCAGGATACCACGTGAGTCACTTGACTCACCCGTTAATACCCTATCCAACTCAGGAAGAAATGTCCCAGAGTCCTTAGCTGGGGTGCATGCATTCAGGGCCAGGAACCCAGTAGATCCTCAACAAATAATTACTGACCTATTGATCAGAAATTCTTCCCAGTTCCTACCATGTATAGAATCATCACCTCTTCAGTTCACTTCTTTCCAAAGGGGAAAGCTTAGGTGAGGGCAAAGGCAGGCAGTCCTGAGGCCCCCAAAAAGCAGACAGAGAAGGTCAATCAGGCCCAAGATAGTTGAGTCAGTTTTTCAATCGATGGTGCTTTAGGTCGTGGTTAAGAGTATGCTGTGGAGTGTCAGACTGATTTTGAAACCTGGTTCACCACTTACTAGCTGGGCAAGTTACTTAAACTTTCTGAGCCTCAGTTTCCCATTTTTAAATGAACATAGTGATAGTACCACTTCTATGGGAGGAGTCATTCGTTAATGTTTTATTGAGCTTCTACTTGATGGCAGGCACCATGTGGTTATGAGGAAGATGTTCTTAGTGTCAGGAAAATGCTAAGCACAGCCCAATCCCATCATTTTACACCAAGGCCCAAGGAGAGAAAGGGCTTGACCAAGGTCTCACCATGAAGAAGTGGCAGAGGGAGGATGAGACTGTGGGCTTCTAGACCAAAGCTAGGTCCTGTGTCCCTCAGACAATGGACAGCAGTGATCAGTTTGCCATACCAGGGCACTGGCCATTACCTCCTGGAGGTTGTGTGAGTACCTTCTGGTTTTAGCTCAGATAAAATGAAAGAGTGACTTGGAACAATACAGGGAGAGATTTTTCTAGATGAACTGACATAATAATGTTACTGATAGGCACTAGTTTTCACTGACTGCTGTCTAAGTGCTAGGCATATGCTGAGAACATTACATGTATCAGTTCATGTAATCCTCACAACCATCCTGTGAGGTAAGTATTATTGTCATCCCCTAAGAAATGATACTTAGGGGAGTCATCTGCCCAAGATCACTCAGCTGGAACCTGTCTGTAAGGGTGGGGAGCACTTGAAGTGGGTGATGAGGAGCTCATAGTGTTTGGAGGCGTCTCAGAGAAATCATGGACAGCTGGGGTCCCTTTTGGCTCTTGAGTCCCTTCCGGCTCCAACGTCAGAGATGACCATAGCCCCAAGTTGTAGGAATTGTATTTGAGTGGGTGAAACATCCCTCCTTGACTGCTTGAGGTGGGCAAGGAGAAACCTGTTCTAGGGGTGGGGAGGCAAGACCCCTCAGTATTGGGCCCCAGTGATGTATCTGCCACTGTTGTAATAGCTGGCTAACTCTGGGCAAATCCTTACATCTCCCTGGGTCCCGAGTTCCCACTTCTGAAACAAGGGGTTGATCTAGCAAGGGTTCCAAACTCAGATGCTTACAGGGGCAGGTAGGAAAGATAAAAAATGAGGCCAGTGAGAGGAGGCTGGGGAAACACGGGTAGTTACTCCTCAGATCCAGGCAACCATTACTGTGCAGGGATGCGGGCTCAATGTGGCCGGGTCTAATGATATTTCAAGAGAATCCAGAAATCCAGAGTCATGCATGTTCTCTCCTAATCTCTAAGCACTGGTAAAAAATTCAAACTTTTTTAGAAATACTATGTGGAACAAATTCTGCTCATGGGCTGCCAGCATGTCACCTCTGGACCACCTACATGTCTAGATCCCAAATTCTGTGATTCTGTGGTTTTCCTAGATGCTGTTCCCCATAACACCAGCATCACTTGGAGTTTGTTAGAAATGCAAGTCCTTGGACTCCACTCAAGACCTACTCAATCAGAAATCTGGACCTGGGGTCCAGCAGTCTGTGTTTTAATAAGCCCTCCAGGTGATTCTCATGCTATCTCAACTTTGAGAACCAGTGACCTACAGCAGCGGGAGAAAGATATGGATGTCTGCTTCCATAAAAATTTACAGCCTTGGAAACCCTATGGGGCAGTTCTACTCTGTCCTATAGGGTCACTATGAGTCGTAATTGACTCAACGGCACTGGGTTTGGGACCTATAGCAAAAAAATAAAAATAAAAAAAAGGCTGTCGACCAGTAGTGTGTTGGGAAATGATTAACAACCAGCTCTCCAGGAAAACAAAGTCCTGACTTGTAGCATTTGCCCATGTCCATGGTGTAAATACTCCCACTGTGGCCGATTTCAAGCTACCAACATAACATCACTAAACACAGAGTTGGGAAGGGATGAGCACAGTCAGCTCTTTGGAGCCTGTGCGAGCTGGCTCCAGCACAGCTCTGCAAGTCAGCTCTCATCAGGATGAATTAGCTGGGGAGCAAGAAGTAGTTGTCCTCTCTCCTCTGCAAGAACCTGGCAAAGGGAAGGGCAGAGTCAGCAGGGCCGGATTACCCGATAAGCAAGGTATGCACGGGCCCAATTGTGCCTTCCCGCAATCTGCAGTGCACAGTTTCACCTGTCCCCCATCACATCAAAGATGTGGTGAAACCCATATGAAATTGCTCATCACAGATTAGCAAGTAAATACATTTAAGCCCATGCATACCTTGCTCAACGAAAGCTGGTGCATACCATGCTTACTGGTGACTCTGCCCTGGCACAGTGATAGCGATGGCCTCTCTTGGGAAAGCCTGTGGTCTGGTGGAAGGAAAGCGCACAGGCTTCAGGGACAGACAGATCAAGGTCACACTTAGGCATGGTACTCAGACTCTCTTTTTAAGTCTCAGTTTTTCTATCTGTAAAGTGAGAGAATAAGACCTATGTCCAGGGCTGCTGTGAGGATTTAGTAATATATTATAAAGGACTCAGGACAGTAAGCCCAATACATGGCCCCTTTCTTTGTGATGATTGTTGATGCTTTTGCTTTTATCCAAGAGGCATCTGGACATACTGGAAAGAATGGAGAGAGGACTAACCTCGCAGTCACAACACTTAACATGAGGGAGAGTCAGTGGAATTTTCATTCATTCCACAAACAATATATGCTGGTTTCCTATTTAGATGAGTGTACCTAAGACTGTTTCACAAATATAGCAGGTGTTCCTTTTTTTCCAATTCTCCATCTTTTGATTACATCAGGGAGAAAGTGTCCATTTGGTATGGAGTCTCTGCACCCTCCTAACCACTCATTGGCAAGTTGACCTCAACTCATGGGGACCTCATGTGTGTCAGAGTAGAACAGTGCTCCATAGGGTTTTCAATGGCTGATTTTTCAGGAGTAGATCACAAGGCCTTTCTTTTGAGGCACCTCTGTTGGTTCTGTGGGGGCTTGCGTGTTGCTGTGATGCTGGAAGCCACGCCACCAGTATTCAAATACCACCATGGTCACCTATGGTGGATAGGTTTCATCTGAGCTACCAGACTAGGAAGAAGGACCTGGCAGTCTACTTCTGAAAAAAAAATTAGCCAGTGAAAACCTTGTGAATACTAGTGGAACATTGTCTGATATAGTGCTGGAAGATGAGCCCCTCAGGTTGGAAGGCAGTCAAAATATGACTGGGAAAGAGCTGTCTCCTCAAAGTAGAGTCGACCTTAATGACGTGGACGGAGTAAAGCTTTCAGGACCTTCATTTGCTGATGTGGCACGACTCAAAATGAGAAGAAACAGCACCAAACGTCCATTAATAATCGGAACTTGGAATGTAGGAAGTATGAAACTAGGAGAATTGGAAATTGTCAAAAATGAAATGAAACACATAAACATTGACATCCTAGGCATTAGTGAGCTGAAATGGACTGATACTGGCCATTTTGAATTGGACAGTCATATGGTCTACTATCCTGGGAATGACAAATTGAAGAGGAATGGTGTTGCATTCATTGTCAAAAAGAACATTTCAAGATCTATCCTAAAGTATAACGCTGTCAGTGATAGGATAATATCCGTACACCTACAAGGAAGACCAGTTAATACGAGTGTAATTCGAATTTACACACCAACCACTAAGGCCAAAGATGAAGAAATTGCAGATTTTTACCAATTTCCGCAGTCTAAAATTGATCAAACATGTAATCAGGATGCATCGATAATTACTGGTGATTGGAATGTGAAAGTTGGAAACAAAGAAGGATTGGTAGTTGGAAAACATGGCTTTGGTGATAGAAACGATGCCAGAGATTGCATGATAGAATTTTGCAAGACCAACGACTTCTACATTGCAAATACCTTTTTCTTAACAACATAAAAAGCAACTATATGCGTGGACCTCCCTGGATGGAATACACAGGAATCAGATCAACTACATTTGTGGAGAGAAATGATGGAAAAACTCAACATCATCAGTCAGAACAAGGCCAGGGGCCAACTGCAGAACAGACCATCAATTGCTCCTATGCAAGTTCAAGTTGAAGCTGAAGGAAATTAGAACAAGTCAAAGAGAGCTAAAGCAAGACCTCGAGTATATCCCACCTGAATTTAGAGACTCGAGTATATCCCACCTGAATTTAGAGACAATCTCAAGAATAGATTTGATGTATTGAACACTAATGACTGAAGACCAGATGAGTTGTGGAATGACATCAAGGACATCACACATGAAGAAAGCAAGAGGTCATTAAAAAGACAGAAAAGAAAGAAAAGACCAAAATGGATGTCAGAAGAGACTCTGAAACTTACTCTTGAACGTGGAGTAGCTAAAGAGAAAGGAAGAAATGATAAAGTAAAACAGCTGAACAGAAGATCTCAAAGGGTGGCTTGAGAATACAAAGTAAATATTATAATAAAATATGCAAAGACCTGGAGATAGAAAACCAAAATGGATGAAAACGCTTGGCATTTCTTAAGCTGAAAGAACTGAAGAAAAAATTCAAGCATCGAGTTGCAATATTGAAAGATTCCATGGCAAAAATATTAAACAATGCCAGAAGTATCAAAAAAAGATGGAAGGAATACACAAAGTCACTGTACCAAAAGGATTTGGTTATTGTTCAATCATTTCAGGAGGTAGCAGATGATCAAGAACCTATGGTACTGAAGGAAGAAATCCAAGCTGCACTGAAGGCATTAGTGAAAAACAAGGTGCCAGGAATTGACAGAATATCAATTGAGATGTTTCAACAAATGGATGCAGTGCTGGAAGTGCTCACTTGTCTATGCCAAAAAATTTGGAAGGCAGCTGCCTGGCCAACAGACTGAAAGAGATCCATATTTATGCCTATTCCAAAGAAAGGTGATCCAACCAAATGCAGAAATTATTGAACAATATCATTAATATCACAAGCAAGTAAAATTTTGCTGAAGGTTATTCAAAAGCAGTTGTAGTACATCGACAGGGAAGTGCCAGAAATTAAAGCCAGATTCAGAAGAGGACATGGAACCAGGTGTGTCATTGCTTGTGTCACATGGATCATGACTGAAAGCAGAGAATACCAGAAAGATTTTTACCTGTGTTTTATTGACTACGCTAAGGCATTTGACTGTGTGGATCATAACAAATTATGGATAACATTGCAAAGAATGGGAATTTGAGAACACTTAAGTGTGCTCATCAGGAACCTATACATAGATCAAGAGGCAGTCATTCAAACAGAACAAGAGGACACTGCATGGTTTAAAGTCAGGAAAGGTGTGCATCAGGGTTGTAAACTTTAAACTTTCACCATACCTATTCAATCTGTATGTTGAGCAAGCAATCCGAGAAGCTGGACTATATGAAGAAGAACGTGGCATCAGGATTGGAGTAAGACTCATTAACAATCTGCATTATGCAGATGACACAACCTTGCTTGCTGAAAGTGAAGAGAACTTGAAGCACTTACTGTTGAAGATCAAATACTACAGCCTTTAGTATGGACTACAGCTCAATTTGTCATTATGCTCTTCTATAATCTTCTTAAATTCCTCGGTTGCTATGTCTGTATATTCCTTGGCTTGTTCTGCATTTTGCCTGATCTCTTGAAGAGTTCTGTTTATTAATCTTTTGTATTCTACTTCTGGTAATTCCAAGAAGTTCTCTTCCTCCAGAAGATTTCTTGATTCTTTATTTTGGGAGCTTGCTGAAGCCATCATGGTCTGCCTCTTCATGCGATTTGATGTTGACTGTTGTCTCCAAGCCATCAATAAGTTATTATATTTATTTATTTTATGTTACCTTACTGTGTCCTAGCTTCTTGTTTTGTTTTGTTATGATATGACCACATAGGCTGCTTGTATGAGCTAGTTTGATTATTGGCGCCTTTCATGCTCTAATGTCGTGTCACCAGGTGATTAGATCTGTTACTAGGTGTGTGAGCCCAGGAGTCTGTTTACTTTTCTTGTATGGATTCAGCTCAGGTGTCCAGGTAGTCAGTCACCAACTGTGTGGTGCAGGCTCTCACCTACAGTCCTAGATGGGCAGGGTTGATTGGTGTAGACACAGGTATCTGGCTGCAGTAGGGGGTCACATACTGAGCAAGGCAGGGGGCTGATGGCTGCCCCTGAGTGTCTGGGAGGAAAGTGTGTCCCTGTTCCCAAGAGTGCATAGGTGGGTGGGTTTTGCAGCTGGACTATGGGCACCAAATGCTGTAATAATTGGGAGGCACCACTGATTCTTGGACCCCTGTCATGGGTAGCTAGGTGGTGTGGGTGGAGCCACTAGTCCTTAGGCCCCTGACGTGGGTAGGTGAGGACACTGCTTAATGGGAAGAGCAGTGTCAAATGTCATGAACTTGACACTTTACCATTTAGCTGATACAATTAAAGTTAGGCTTCAGGTATATACCCTGTTGTACTGTGTAATGAGGGCCTATGCTGTTGAAATGGGCCCACACAGGTCTATGCAGGGGTGAAGGGCATTCAAAGCCCGTGGACCCTTTATGCCTGTGCCTAGGCAAGGAGCTGTGCCTACCCTAAGTTCCTGGTTTAGGGGAGCTGGCAGATTATTTTTTCCCTGTTTGTTAACTTGTTCCCTCTCCAAGGCAGGGAGAATGGCTCAGGGCAGTGTGACAGGTCCTACTTCTGGCCCAGGGGATGTGGCAATCACTGAAGCTGGCCTGGGATCCGGTGCAGAGCAGGGAGGGGGCAAGTAAATGGGAGAGAGGTTTTTCCCAAAAGGGGTGTTTTTTGGTCTGCACGGTAGGTTGCACACATGTACTTATCTTTTGCTGATTGAGGGCCACTTTTCACTGGTTCTGGAGACTTGAGTAGAGTCTCTGCTGCTCGGTCCCTCCCGATAAGGAAAACGCATCTCCCGTGCCACTGCTTGCCTCATGGGGTGCGCACCAGTTGATCTGGCCTGCTGGGTGCCAGTTCCTGCTGGGTCTGTCTCTCCCTCCCCCTGCCACTCGGTCAGATTCCTCAAATTTGCCTCTGATGTTCAGTGCTCCTAGATTGTCATATGTAATCAATTCACGTGTTTTTTCCTGTCTTTGTTGTGAGAGGGACAACAGGAAGCATCTGACTACCCCACCATCTTGGCCCCACCTCTGGATTACACCTCAAAACAAAGAAAACAAAAATCCCCACAACTGGACCAATAAGCAACATCATGATAAACAGAGAAAAATTGAAGTTAAGGACTTCGTTTTACTTGGATCCACAATCAAAGAGACAGTCAAGAAATCAGATGACCCATTGCATTGGGCAAATCTGCTGCAAAAGACCTCTTTAAGGTGTTACAAAGCAAAGATGTCACTTTAAGGACTAAGGTGCGCCTGACCCAAGCCATGGGTTTTTCAAGCACCTTATGCGGAAGCTGGGCAATGAATAAGGAAGACCGAAGAAGAACTGACACCTTTGAATTATGGTGTTGGCAAAGAATATTAAATATACCAAGAACAAACAAATGTGTCTTAGAGTTCGTCTCACATACTTAAGACACGTTATCAGGAGAGATCGGTCCCTAGAGAAGGACATCATGCTTGGTAGAGGGTCAGTGAAAACGAGATAGATTGACACCGTGCCGGCAACAACAGCCTCAAGCATAACAACAATTGTGAAGATGGCCCAGGACTGGGCAGTGCTTCGTTCTGTTGTATATAGTGTTGTTTTGAGTCGGAAGCAACTTGATGGCACCTAACGACACAACAACTGGGTGGAATCAAACTTCCAACCTTTCGGTTAGCAGCCGAGCCTGTTAACTTTTTGTGCCACCCAGGGACTACCTCCCCTTTCTAATTCTTGCTGGTCTCCTTTTTGACAGTAGCAGAGGAGGCCTTTGGGCTGCCACATCTGGGAAGAATTTAGTAAAGTTTCGTTTTCATTACATCTCTTTTTACAGTTACTTTCCATTTATACTAGTGACACGAAGTTTCCTTTTAAATACATTTACTTAAATTTTTAAAAAGTCTATTTCAAGAAAAATATTAAGTAGAAAAATAGTATCCCTGGAATGCCTTTATGGACTTCAAATGCTGAAATTTGGGAAACACCTGGCAGGACTTTGAAGTTAGGCCTGATTTGAATCCCAAGCTCTACCCATTCCAAGCCACATGACCTTGGAACACTTGATTCACTTTGCCAACCTTGGCTTTCCCGTCAGTGGAATAGGGACACTAATAGCTTGCTCACAGGGCTGTTGTGAGGATGATGTGACATGAGATGGTAGAGCTGAGGGCCTGGGAAGTCTTAAAAACTAGTTTGTTCTATACAGCTGTCCATGGGGCGAGAAGGAAGGGACTGGCAGTGCCCAGGTGTACATTAGGCCCTAGGAAAACCATACCCAACACCCCAGCACCCTCCAGGTAGTTTCATGTTTAAAATGAAGCCCTGAGGTTGGCTTGAAGGATAGTGGAAGTGGAAGAATGTTCAAGGGGTGTGTAGGGGGAGACAGGAGACAGGTCTGATAGACAGGATTTTCCCTGATATAAATAAAGCTGTCAGCCTTAATTTCCTAATGAGGAAACTGCAGGCTCTGAGAAGGTTAAGTGACTTGTCCAGGGTCACGCAGCTAGGAAATGACCCAGCTGGGACTTGAACTTGGGTTTTATGACTCCTGGTCTAGTTCATTTTCCATAGGGTCTGAAGATTAAAATAAGCCAAAGATGATCCTGAGATTCCCCCTTTCTCCCCCTTTCCCTCCCACATGTCTGCCAGGTTTTTCGGGAAGATGACAGGGAAATGAGCTAGCTGGGGAGGGTATACTTGTTCTACTGAAAGTGCATTCTGACAGTGTCACTACTGACAATTATCCAAATAGTTCTTTGCGTCCCAGATTGCCTCTGCAGCCTGGTGCCTGAGTGTGACCACCTCTGCTTTGTCATTTCTAGGAACTGCTACCAGATTTTCCTCAACATGGGGATACTCAGCTTCGTCATGATTATGAGTCTGGCATCTGGTTTCCTGACAGGTCAGTGTGAGACACCCCTTCCGGCGCCATGGCCCAGGGCACAGGTCCTGGTCCAGAGTGCACCCTGCCCTGTGGCTGGAAGCGTGCATGCCCATCCCCTACCCTGAGAACAGACCCCTCAGCTCCAAATGAAGCAAAGGGCTCAAGACTTTGATTTAAAAATATATATATATAAACTCATATAAGTTCAGAATTAGAAAGGCCCTCAAGAGGTCATCTGCTTCAGATGTGGACTCTGAAGTCCAGGGAAGGGAAGGGACTTTCTTGAGGTTGTAAGTAGGGATGATACGGCAAGAGGTGACATTGCAGCCTCCTGAGCCCAAGGCTGGTGATTTTACTGAATTTTGTACGGAAAACCAAGGAAACTCTTACGCCAAAAAGCCTACCTTTTATTTCCTGAGGACACCCATAAAACCAGAAACCAGTTGCTATCGAGTCACTTCTGTCTCATGATGACCCCATGTGTGTGAGAGTAGAACTGTGCTCCTTAGCGTTTTCAATGGCTGATTTTTGGAAGTAGATTGCCAGGCCTTTCTTCTGAGGAGCCTCTGGGTGGACATGAACCTACATACTTTTGGTTAGCAGCCAAGTGTGTTAACCATTTGTACACACAGGGACTCCTGAAGACACCCATAATATTATTTTATTCAACAAATATTCAGTATCTACTATGAGCCAGGCACTGTTCTGGACACTGGGGATACAGCAGTGAACAAAGCAAATTCCCTGACCTCATGGAGCTGACATTCTAGTGAGGGGCATTAACAATAAATAGACAAATATATATTAGGTCAGATAGTGATACACGCTAGGAAGAAAAATAAAGCAGGGCAGGGGAACATAGTCTTTGTGTGTGTGGGGTGGGGTGGTACTCTTTTAGATGGGTGTTCAGGGAAGACCTAGCTGATAAGTAGACCTTTAAGCAAAGCCCTGAATGAAGAGGAGGGAGGCATGTCATGCATTTATTTGAGGGGAAGAGGTTCCGTGAAAAGGGAACAGCAGATGCAAAGGCCCTGCAGCAGGAGCATGCTTTGCATGTTTGGGGAACGGCAAGGTCAGCATGGATGATGTGGTTGGAGTGAGGGGGAGAGTGGCAGGGGCTGAGGGCAGAGTGGTAAAAGGGAGCCAGATCATTGTGACAGATGGGAAGCCATTGGAAATCTTTAACAAAGGAGTGAAGCATATTTTTGTGCCTGCGATGTGATAGAACAGTGAAGAATCTTGGGGAGTTAGTTACTAATTTGCAAGTCTATATGCCAGAGCCCTGGTGGTGCAGTGGTTAAGAGCTATGGTGAGCTACCTTTGCTAACCAAAAGGTTGGCCGTTTCAATCCACCAGCTGCTCCTTGGAAACCCTATGGGGCAGTTCTACTCTGTCCTATAGGGTCTCTATGAGTCAGAATTCACTCGATGGCAATGAGTTTTTTGTTGGTTTTTTTTTTTTTTTTTTCGTATTTATATGCCAGGTGAGAATATGCATTCTGTCCAGAACTGTTCACTTTTATTCTACAACCATCTCATATTGGTTACACATCCATATATTGTGTCCCTAAGCAGGGGGTGGACATCAAATAAGAGACAAAATAGCATAGCTGACGTTAATGAGCTGTGTGACATTGGGCATATCATTTGCCTCTCTCTGGGGCTCTGTTGGTTTCTCTGTAAAATGGAAGGATTATGGAAACAAATCTTTTGGCTTCCGTCCAGCCCTAAAAAATGTATGAAGGTGCTTTTTGAAGTTACCTGGGTAATTTTAGATTGAGGTTGGCTAGAATTGCTTTAATGTACTAGTTAGTTTCAGTTTTCTGACAGTCTGAGGTGATTAATTAAATAGACATATGAAAAACATCTCCCTCCATAAATTTACAGTCTGTTCATGGTGCCAGTACCTACCCACCTAGGTAGGGTTGCCAGATTTAGCAATTGAAAATACACCTATTTTTTGAATTAAAACTACCTGGGTGTCCTGCATTTTATTGGGCAACTCTACACCTGGGACTCACAGCACTCACCATTAGCACAGGTATTTACAAGGTGATGCTGACTCCAACCCTTCCTTACAAAGCACCTGAGGGAGTTTTCTCAGGCTTCACTGGAGAGAAGAAGAGGAAGAGGAGGAGGAGGAGGAGGAAGAGGAGGAGGAGGAGGAAGAGGAGGAGGAAGAGGAAAAGAGGAAGAGGAAGAGAAAGAGGAAAAGAGGAAGAGGAGGAAGAAGAGGAGCAGGAGGAAGAGGAAGAGGAAGAGAAAGTCATATTATTTGCTTAACAGTTAAGACAAATGAGCTCTCCTGTTTGAATATTGCCTTTGACATTAGGGAACTGGTGATTAGAAAGAATTTGGACAATGGAAAGGAAAAAAGATGCCAAAACAGCATCCAACTGACCCCCTAAAGCTGAGCATTTTACTTATAAGAAACCCCCTTGTTTGGAACCTGTCTATACTTATTTAAGAAACAATCCTAGCAAGCATGGTTATTGAGTCTCCCAGTTCAGGCAAATTAGAAAGAGCAGATTAGAGGTGGGGTAGATTTCTAGGGGTAAGGCACACTGGTAGGTGTCAGGAGTGAAAGCTGAGAGCCTACCAGCAGAAAAAAAATTTGTAAAACCAGACACAAGAACATGAAAAACTCGAACTGTTGAGCAAACAGCTCAACACCCTCGTCAACAATACACCTTCTCCACGTTATACAGCACATTTCATAAATGGATGCTCCTAGCAACAGCTCTACATGTTTAAAAAAAAAAAAAGAAGTCTAAATATGTTCATTGTTGAAAACAATATATTTTAGACACATTTTCATCAGTGATGAGTGAGCCTCACCTATCTAGAAAATACACGTAGGAGATAGAGATCGTTTGAGTAATTCTAGCTAAATGAGGGGTGCTGGTTGCGCCCTACATGCCAGTATCAGTTAAAGGTGTTCACTACTACAGGAAAATATGAATTTCACTAAGCACATGCCCACTCTTGTTAAAGTACTATTTAATACATTGGAACCGATCATCATTAAAAACACACAAAAATCCATCAAGAGCAATTCGCTGCTTCACATGAAAGGTAAGCTCTCACAGAATGTATCCTTGGAATTTCAGCTGACTTTGGGAAAGCTAAGGGGATGCATAGGGACAAACAATCTGGGTAGAGGCTAGACGGGTAAAAGGAAGAACAGGCACAAAAGCAAGTTGTTATAAACTACTTTCCTAACTACACAAGTGGAATCTTGAGCTGAAGTTGTTGGGAGTTTTTTGGAACCAGTGAGGACAGTATAGCATGTTTATTTGACCTACAGGCTGAAAAAAAAAAACAAAAAACCAGTTGCCATTGAGTCCATTCTGACTCATGGTGACCCTACGTGTTGCAGAGTAGAACTATGCTCCATAGGGTTTTCAATGTCTGTAATCTTATAGAAGGAGCCTGAATGGCGCAAGCAGTTTTCAACCAACTGCTAACCTAAAGGTTGGCGGTTCGAACCCACCTTGCAGCTCTGCAGAAGAAAAGCCTGGTGAACTGCTTCCATAAAGATTATGGCCAAAAAAATCCTATGGAGCAGCTCTATTCTGTAACACAGGGGGTTGCCATGAGTCGAAGCCAACTCAACAGCAGCTAACAACAAACTTTACCGAAGCAGATCACTAGGCAACGAACTTTACGGAAGCAGATCACTAGGCCTTTCTTTCACCGAGCCACAGGCTGGATTCCTGCAGCCAACCTTTTGTTTAGCAGTTGAGCACAAACCGTATCGCCACCCAGGGACCTCTGTCTGATCTTTTTGTTGTTAGTTGTTGTTGAGTCGATTCTGACTCATGGGGACCCCATGTGTGCTGAGTAGAACTGTTCCATAGGGTTTTCAAGGTTCTGACCTTTTGGAAGCAGATCACCAGGCCTGTCTTCCCAGGTGCCTCTGGGAGGATTCAAACTGCAACCTTTTGGCTAGTAGTGAGCACTTAATCATTTGCTCATAGTGACCCTATATGACGGAGTATAACTACCCCATAGGATTTCCTAGGTTGTAATCTTTATGAGAGCAGATTACCAGGTCTTTTCTCCCACAGAGCCACTGGGTGGATTTGAAACATGACCTTTTGGTTAGCAGCTGAACACTTAACCACTGCACCACCAGGGCTCCCCATTTGTGCTTAAAACCAAAAACTGTTGCTGTAGAGTTGATTCCGATTCATAGCGACCCGATAGGACAGAGTAGAACTGCCCCATAGGGTTTTCAAGGAGCAGCTGATGGATTTGAACTGCCAATCTTTTGGTTAGCAGCCAAGCTCTTGACCATTGTCCCTTGAATCCATTGCTGTGGAGTCGATTCCGACTCATAGTGACCCTAAAGGAAAGAATAGAACTGCCTCATAGGGTTTCCAAGGAGTGCCTGGTGGATTTGAATGGCTGGACTTTTTGGTTAGCAGCCCTAGGTCTTAACCACTATGCCACCAGGGTTTGGGGCCATCTGTTTTAAGTCCTTCTCCATGGTAGCTCTTGCATTTTAAATGGATCAGCCTTTAAATGCAGCCCCACAACAGAGCTCTTCTACTCCCACTGGGAAGGGTGTTGGATACATGGCTATTGTACAAATGCTCAGTGTAATCTAAATCCTTTAGGAATCTTCGCTCTTGCCAGTTCCTTTTAGAAGGTCTCTATAGAATTAATTAAGCTGGTCAAGGAAAGACAGTGCTTCAATTTGTCTGCTGGTTGTGGAAGATAAAGGATTTCTGCTGAGATACCATAGTTGACACATGATATTTTGATTAATCTTGAGAAAACAAATGTTGTGCTCCAAATGTTTAAAATTTAATTATAAATTTAAACAGGTAGTATTCTGAGGCTCCAAATATGGAAAGCACCCGGTGTGAATAAATATTATTATGACCAAGATTTCTGGAAGGTAAGCTTTTTTTTTTAACTTACTAACATCATACATTTTGAGTGCATGAACTTCAAAAGATACCTGGTTATATATGTGAACTTGGTGTTTATGAGATTAAAACAAAAATGAAGAGCATTGGGGAAGGAGCGAATCCATGATGCTGTCTGTGTATGTGTGTTGGCCAGGAGGTAGGGAGGTGGTTAAAGATTACCATACTTCCCTGATGCCTCGAGGTCACTGATGTCAGAAATGAGACAACTGCCACTGACCACACTTGCCCCTCCTCATATGGAGTCATCAAAGTGGGCAAATGGTTAGAAACAAAGGCAAACAAAGTAGGAGCCAGAAGAAACCACAGGGGCCATCAAGCCCAACCCTTCATTTGACAGATGCTCAGAGTGGAGAATGACTTGTCCAAGATCTTACAGTGAGTCAGTCACAGAGCTGAATGTCGAACACTGCTCTTGATAAGTTGTGACTAAGGGTTGCAAGAAAACTTGTAGTATAGGAGTCTGGGGTTATTTAGCAAAGGGACAGTGAGCTCTAACAACCTAGCTGCTGCGGAGGGTCTCTGCATTACACTATAATGTTTGTCATCATGACAGGACTAGAAAGCTCAGTGATTGTTCTCTGTCACCCACCCCACTGACCTCCCTCTTTGACCTACACTGACAGTTCACAAAGCACTTTGACGTGTGTGACCTTAGGTAATCCGATAGGCTGGGCAAGCAGGGCTCAATATTGCCAAGTTGTCAATGAGAAGTTGGGGCCGACAGAGGTTAGGCTCATGCCCAGCATCATACCTCTGAAAGTGGCAGAGTCAAGCCCAGAAACCAGGTCTTCTCAGTCCCAGGTCAACCCTTTCTCCACACAACATGCCAAGAGACTGATCACTAAAGTACAGAGAACCGGTCTTGCTGTGGGCCTGGGCATAGCCAGTGACAAAGCTGAGAGAAACTGCCCCTGCCGCCACTGCCATGGCCGCCGCTGTTGGCATCTCGTCCTCCTCCTCTCTCTTTTCCTCCTCCTCCTCCTCTTTGTGTTTCTTTTCCTTTCTTCGTCCTCTTTCTCCTCCTCCTCTTCCTCTTTTTTCTTCTCTTCCTCTTCTTCCAGCTTTATTGAGGTATAAGTGACATACAATAAATTGCACATATTTAAAGTATACATTTGATATGTTTTGATATATGTATACTCCTGTGAAACACCACCACCATCAAGATAATGAGGATATTCATCACCATCAGATGTTTCCTCATGCCCCTCTGGAACGCCCTCCCTGCCTCCTCCCCAGTGGTCCCACCCTCAGGCAAACACTAAACTACTTTCTGTCCCTATAGATTAGTTTTCATTTTCTAGAGTTTTGTGTAAATGGAATCCTACAGTAAGTACTTTTTTGGGTCTAGTTTAACTCGGCATAATTCTTCTGAGATTCACCCATGTTGTTGCATGTAACCTGCCTCATCTTGTGCCAGCTTCTCTCTAAAGCCACTGGTTCTGGGCTTCTCCCAACATCCAGTCTCTCCCACTCCCCTACCACAGCAAGTGCTGTTGCCCCTTTAGCTGAAGCAGGGTGATCTAGTGAAAGGACTCTGAAAACCAGACTTATTCATTCCACAAGTATTTATCGAGCAGCTACTATATACCAGGCATCATGTTAATCAACCAGAGATACCACAAACAGGACAAATACACAGCTCAAAAAGTTGAGGTACAGTAAATCTTCGCTGAACAAATGAAGGAAGTCTGAAGAGCTCTACCTAACACTGCAGTAGCAGGCGATAAGTGTGTACCTGGGATGAGAACACCTGGATTCTAGTTACCTTTCTGCAATGTACCATTTAGGCAAGTCCACTGATCTCTCTCATTGGTAAAATAAGAATAGTAATCTTTGTTCTACCTCAGCAGGTTGCTCTGAAGATCAAATGAGGTAATAATGTCTGTAAAACACTCTATAAAACGCAAAGCACTACATGCATGTAGAAGTTTATTCCTAGGGGTTTAGCCAACCACAAAGGAGTATGGGTAAGCGTAACAGCTATCACTTACTGCAGGCCTGCTGCTTCTGGTAGACGCATTTCAACATTATCTGATTTAATTCTCACAACAACCCTGCATGAGAATAAGTATCCCCATTTTATAGATGAGGAAATTGAGGCCTACAGAGATTAAGTAACTTGTCCAAAATTACAGAGTTAGTAAATGGAACAAGGGGAATTTGGATTGATGTCAGTTTGGCTCCAAAGTCACAGCAGGTATGTGTGTATGTGTTGTGGCAGCCACTGGAGAATAGTTGTTTCTTCCCCCCACAATCTTCTGATTTATTTTCTTGCAGCTGAGTAGAATCATTTACTCAGCAGTATAGCACTTACAGCTTGCATTGGAAAAGCCGAAAATCCAGCACAGAGGCAAGAATTCAAACTTGCAAAGCTGATTAAATCCAGGGATAATTTTTTTTTTTAACATAAACTATCCAAAAAGACATTTTAAACTTTATTGAATCCCCTTATTGCATTTCATAGAACCAGACTCCCAGGATTGGAAAAGACATTGAAGTGAGCTCAACCATTCCTTCACTGGTTACTCAGACTATGCCTGGCACTTCCTGGGATGGAGCCCTCACCACTCCCCAAGGGCACCCATCTCATCCTTGGATGATTCTATGAAAATTCACTCACTAATTCATTCCACTAAATGTATTAACTAATATGTGCCAGGCACTGTGCTAAGTGCTGGAGAGACAAATCTAAATAAACTGAGTTCTAGGTCTCAAGGCGCTGATCCCCTATCTCCCTGTAGTTTACAATGGTCCTAACCCAGATACTGGTTTACAAAAATTCAGTTTACAACACTAGCAGACTTTGTGAATGGAAGGCTGAAGGGTAAGCTAGAGCCACTTGAATTTCCTCCTACAGGCCATTGGAAGCTCCCAAAGGCTTGAGTGGGGGAATGATGCAATAAAATGAGTGGTTTTAGAGTTACGTAGAATGATAGGATTAAGCCTGTAGGGTGGATTCTGAAATGACTGCAAAATGCTAATGATCATTCATTGGCTTCTAAACAAGTATTTGCAGCTTATTTTTAAGGTTTTTATTTATTTTTTTGCAAAAAAACATAAACACCACCACTGTTTTGGCACAAAACCACAATAAAATGTGTTAAGAGGTCCTTTTGCTGTGTTATGTAGACGTTCTTAAAACCTGGCCATGTCACGCTGGTATCACCCCTGCGTCTGAATTAAAATGAATATTCTAGACACACAGTAACTGCCTAAACAAATGCTTGTTGAAACAAAATGAGGAGTGTCAGCTTTTGAAGTAAAGTAGGACAACAGATTGAAACTTGCCAGATAGATGACTCCTCCAGTCTGGGGGAGGCCCAGTGAAAAGAGCATTGCTCTGGGAGGCGGATCTGAGTTGAAGCCCCAGGCAGGTAAATTTACTTTTCTGGGATTCAATTGCTTCATCTATAAAATGAGATCAAATCCCATGTTCTAAGAGAGTGTGCTCTGGAATCAGACATCTGGATGCTACCACTTCCAGCTCTGTGACCTCTCAGAGGCTCAGTCTCCCCATCTCTGAAATGGAGACAGTGATAGTAACTCGCTCACTGGGTTGTTGTGAGGATTTAAAGGAGATAACGTGTGTGAAATGCTAGCACACTGACTGGTCCACAGAACATACCCCATTAGTGTTAGCTGCCCTGATTTCCAGTTCTAGAATTTTACGGTCCCAGGTTATTCACCCGTGCAGTGATGGTGTATGGCCGGCTGTGATATGGTTCCAGTGAAGCACTGAAAATAGACCGCAAGGACACCTGAGCGCTCTCGTCAAACACTTGAAGGACTGTCATGCAGAAGAGGAAAAATGCTTTTCTCTGTCTCTCCAAAGAATTTAACGAGGCCCAATGGGCAGTGTGGTGTAAACTTCTAACAGTTTGAACTATCTGTAAAACGGAATGAGCCTCTTGATACGGTAATAAGTTCCCCATCACTGGAGGCTTCAAACAGAAGCAAGATAACTATTTATCATTGATCCACACAAAGGACTATATGAAATAAACTATCTTAGGTCTCTTTCAATTAGGATTTTATGAAAGAACTTCTAAGGTCTTTGTAATGAGATGACATTTAGGTCACCATAATTTCAAAAGATCAAGTCAGAATCAATATGTATACAAATTTTAAGAGTATAAGGGTCCATCCGTAATAAAAATGTTTGCTTTGCTTTTACAGTTTCCTCATTTGGCTGACGAATTTTAAGCCTTAATCACCCAAGGAAAACAAGTCCTGTTCAAAAAAATAAGATCTTTCTTTGGCTGTTCCCCACCTTTTTTGTGCAACAATCATCACAGCAAGGTCCCATTATGTTCAATGAAACAAAGTCAGAGATAAATTTGATATTAAAAATAAAAGGCTAAAAACTTGTTTAAGTGGTCATTTAATAATAGTTTTAAATAAATATGTTCGGTTTCCATAAAGATGATGCTATAAATATTTTCTTGGGTGCAAACACATAATTAAGGTTTCAATTAAATTTTATTTACAATTCTTTAGATTCTTTCTCATGCTTAATAGAGTGTTGTCATGGATTGAATTGTGTCCCCAAAAAATATGTGTCAACTTGGTTAGGCCACTGATTCCTAGTATTGTGTGGTTGTCCTCCATTTTGTGATTGTAATTTTATTTTAAAGAGGATTAGAGTGGGATTGTAACACCCTTACCCAGGTCACATGCCTGATTCAATGTGAAGGGAGTTTCCCTGGGGTGTAGCCTGGCACAACTTTTCTCTCTCAAGAGATAAAAAGGAAAGGGAAGCGAGCAGAGAGGGGGACCTCATACCCCCAAGAAAGCAGTGCGGGGAGCAAAGCGTGTCCTTTGGACCCGGGGTCCCTGCACGGAGAAGCTCCTAGTTCAGCGGAAGATTGATGAGAAGGCTGACAGAGAAAGCCTTCCCCTGGAGTTGACGCCCTGAACTTGGACTTTTAGCCTACTTTACTGTGAGGAAATAAATTTCTCTTTGTTAAAGCCATCCACTTGTGGTATTTCTGTTATAGCAGCACTAGATGACTAAGACAAGTGTGCTACCCAGCAGAGCAGATAATACAAAACAGGGAAAAATGAAGAACCCACTTATATTTAGTCCTTGCAGACATTATGTTTTTACTCCAGGGGTTCTACAAGGCAGTACACATTCCCTGAGCACATTCTGAACTGCACCGCGAGAAAGATGTGGTCACTTGTAGTGGGAGATACACTACCTCAGCATTGAAAAACTAATTCTATGAACTTGACAAAATTATTTAGATTTCCACCGTCTGGATTCCCTCATCTGTAAAAAGAGAGGATAGACTTCAACCTCTAATATCCCCTCCAATTCTCACACTCATGGATTTAAAAATTCACCATGATTGATTTACTGTGGGATGACAGCAATATAGTTGTTTCTTTGAGCAGGGTCTTGAGGACCAGGTATTATTCAAAACATATACCTTGGCAGATAATTATGGCTGACATGGAAAAGAACAGCACAAATATAAATCACGTAAGAGCTATTTTGTGTTTAATGAAGGGCTAACTGTAGCAAGTTTTATGAAAGAAAACATTTCAAGCTGTAGCTCTGAAGAACATTTATCCCATAGTTAGCTAGTTCATTAAAAAAATAAGTTCCATTTTGCTAAGGTAGGGAGCTGGGGGATAACAGAGTTCCTCCTCAGGAAAAGGTATGAGAATTATCAATAATGTTTGTAACTGTAATTGACCTGATAGGTCTAGCATGAGCTTAGTGGTTCAGTCTTCTAAATAGAGATAAAATGAAACAAGGAATTCAGTTCTACTATCAGACCACCACCATTAACAAAAAAATTCAGCTGAGTAAGGGACTGGAGCATCAAGTCCCTCTCCGTTTTCTCTTCCTTCAATGGTGGATGTGAAATGACTATCAGCATCCCACCAGGACCAAGTGTCCAGGCTGAGTTCATACCCCCTAGTCTCTAGAACTAGCGGCACAGTGGAAGAGATCCCCACAGAAGTGACATGATGAGTCTGGAGGCTGGATCATGGGACTTCTTTTTTCTGACATGTTCATTTTACCACTTGGGAAGCGCTCAGTAGCGATTTACACTGAAATCTTTATAAAATTCTCGATAAAACTGTATAAGCCAAAACAAAGTATAGTGAAAAAGAATTCTGACCACTGGATAGTTTTTAAGAACAAGAAAATATTTATATTTCATTTAACATTAACACTGAAGATGCCACATTTAAATAAATACATTAAATCTTTAGAGCACTTTAATTGTAGTTTTGGACCTCAGGTGTGACAAATACTCATATTGATACAGCCATAATTTCTTTTTATTTTTACAAGTTATACCATGATGAAATTTTATAAAAAATTACTTGTGTGAAATATTTTCCTTTAACATTTTATAAGTTAATCAAGTGCAAACCACAATAGATTATTCTGTTATTTAAACTGGAAGTTCTCATGATTTTAGTATGACACAACTTTAAGCGGAGACTACACTCAGAAATAAGTTTAGAAAATGACATTACGACAGACTGGGAGTGCGCAGTAAAATGCCATGCAGGGCTCCTGTCTGTAGGAAATGCTTTCACTGCCATAAGTCTTCAGTGCGGCCAAACTTAAAAACCAGTCCTCTGTGAATAAAACAAGAAATAGTGTATCATTGCCTGAGTTTAGGAAAAGAGTTACGAGATTTTGAGAATGGTGGGAAACTAGCAACAAAGAATAACTGATGTGACATATGAAAAGAAATCATGGAATGTATTAAAACAAACGGATCATTCTAAGGTAATAAATTCTTCTGTTATGCTCAACTGTGCTATTGACCATCAGCTTCCTGACAACCGCTATTAACGTTTGAGTACTAGAGACACATGAAGTTTTGCAAAAGTTAACCAATATTTATGTAACTATTTTATGTCTAAGGAGCCCTGGTGGTACACTGGTTAAAGTGCTCGACTGCAAACTGAAAGGTCATGGTTTGAACCCACCAGCTGTTCTGCAGGAGAAAGATGTGGCAGTTTGCCTCTGTAAAGATTTACAGCCTTAGGAACTCTATGGGGCAGTTCTCCTATGTCCTACAGAGTCGCTATGAGTTGGAATTGACTGGGCAGCAGTGCGCTTGGTATTATATGTCTGATTTTATCAAATTCAGTCAAGAACCCATTTTTGCACATCTTGATGAGCTAGGTGCTAGATGCTAGGGCTATAAAGATAAGATGTAGTCCCTGCCCTCAAGTTGTTCACATTCTTGATAATACAATGCAGTAAAAATTAGGGGGAAAGAAAGAGGTATATACACCAAATGTTAAGAAAGCATAACTCGTAACCTGTTGCCATCGAGTAGATTCCGAATTATAGCGACCCTACAGGACAGAGCAGAACTGCACCACAGGGTTTACAAGGCTGCAAATCTTTACTGAAGCAGACTGCCACATCTTTCTCCCGTAAGAAAGCATAGAAACATAGAATTAATTCCACCTGGATGATTTAGAAAAGGATCTAAAAAGGTGGTCATTTTGAGACGGGCTTTCATGGATAAGCAGGAGTTTGAATGGGAGGTTAGTAGGAACAAAAGCTAATGGGATGATGAAGGAAGACGTTTCAGGGAGAGGTGACAGTGTATCAAAAGACAAAGAAGTATAAAAGACTCTGGGGCCTCAGGAAAAAACCAGGAGATTGGTATTCAGAAATATGTCCTCACAGAGCTTGCTGCAGTCTAGGGGTTAGGTGGAGAAGCGTCAGCAGCTGTCCTCAAGGCTTCATCTAAGAGGGGAAAGAGGGCAGCTACAGGCATAAAAAGTACAGGGAAGAATCCAACATCGCTACATTATAGTGTTTAAAAGAGATGAGGAAAACCGAGAATGGAGGTGGCCAAGATTTGGGAAGCCAACTGACCAGGGGTGACAAATTGCCCACAGGGGCCTTAGGTGCCTTAAATGAGTCAAGAGGGCAGGTGCCAGCCTGTATGCTGGACCAAAAGGGTAGTTGGTACTCAGTCCCAGGCAGTGAATGAAGTGGGACTACAGGAGGTACATCCTCTATTTAAAAGGAATGACTACTCAGAGCCAACCGATTGTTGCCACATAGAGCACCCAGGGTTGTCAGATCTTCCAGTTTTGGAAGAAAAGCCAAAAATGCAGATTTCAATGTAAAATCTCTTGATTTTTAAATGTTGGCTCAATAAAACAACACTGTATACTCATTGCTGTCGAGTTGATTCCAACTTATAGTGGCCCTACAGGACAGAGCAGAACTGCTCCCCTAGGGTTTCCAAGGAGCGGCTGGTGGATTTGAACTGCTGACCTTTTTGTTAACAGACGAGTTCTTAACTACTACACCATCAGGCTCCACAACACTGGATAGGCTAAATAAAAAAGAACTATGGGCAGAATTTGGCCTGACAGCTGCCAGTTTTAATCTCTCCTGTAGTCAGCCCAGAGTTCTGAAAAATTTTAAGAAGGAAATGACAGCATAAGAGTATGTTTTAGGAGGAAAACCGACAGCAGGAAAAATCAATCAGAGGGAGAATGAGACCAGAGGCAGAGGGAGGAACCAGTGAGGAATGTGAACTGTTTACCCAACCAGTGATGACAACTGAAACATAAACAATGGAATGGACAAAACAGAACAGGTTTAAGACAATTCAGAAGCAGATTCAACAGGCCTTGGATGGGGGGAGGGGAGGGAGTGTGAGGGAGAAACTGATGACAGAGTAGACATTTCAACTGCGTAGGCTGGTACTGATTTTGTCTTCTGTTTTCCAATTACCAGTGTATACTCAAGGTTAAGTCCAAAGTTGTTAATAATCAATTTTAAACTGATTCATAATGCCTTTATAAAGGTAAACATTTGAGTGATTTTTAATGAAAAAAAAAAAAAAAAATGCAACCAGGAAATCATCTATACCCTCTTTTGAAAGTATACTAATATCTCTTTAAAAAAAATTTAATAAACCTCCAAAAGATGATACGATCTCTGCTCTTATGGTAAATATGAGACCCGCTGCCATAGAAAGAAAAACCAAAGTTGGTTATTAGGGTCTCTCCTCTCCAGCCAGCTTAAAAGAGACAGGGTAATTTCAGAATACTGGTCAACACATGTGAATTATAATCTGAGGAGTTTCTTGGGCAAGATCCAGTCCCTCCTACATTGTCAGATGGTCACCTGTGGTACTGACATCTGTTTCTGATTTCTGAAATGGTAATCTGTGAGCTGCTGCTGAGTACTGGTCTGGTATAAATCAGAATGGTAGGCAATCTGCTGCAACTATTCTGATAAAAATGTCAATTATTTGAATTGAATTTCAATTTGCTTGTATTTTCACAAAACTCAATTAGTGTTTACACTTCATAGGTACAGTAGTAACAAATAAGAAATTAATCAAACTTGCTGCATATAACAGTATTTGTTGTAACTATTTTGAGACAATGACAAGTCAATGATCAGTTTCCAATGTTTTGTGAAATCTGGTAACTACTGTATGAATTTAAGTGTTCCTCCTTCTCATTGGAAGAGAGAAAATTTTCCCACACATTTTCCTTTCCCAATCCTCTGTTCCTCTCTGCTATGACATAGTAACTTCTTTGCAAAAAGCAGCGTCTCAAGGTGCAATTTACTTTATCCTTCCTCCTTGCTGGGGTAGATAAAGATTACAATAAAGAAGGCTGCTCTTGGCCCCTCACTGGATGAGGGCCAAGTCTGTTCTCAGTAAACGCCCTGCCTACCACTGAAGCTTCCCTTATCCCCACCTTGGAACCCTGTGCCCTATCTTCCCTTGGCTCAAGTTGTGGGTACTGATTCCCCAGAGCATCTCCGACCCTGTGGAGATTGGAGCAGTGAGCTGAGGATGCCTGTTCCTTCTTTAAAGATGCTTATCCCTCAGCACTGCAACTTGAAAGGAAAAGAAATCCTAAGCATCAGCGCTGTTCAAGTATTTTGCTCTCTGTGTCATAAATGCATGTTACATTATCCTACAGAATGACAAACTTACTCCAGCTTTAAACAGCTAGAGCAATACATTTCAGAATGCTACCAAATGGTAATACTGATCCCTAAAAGATGACTTTCTGTCTGTAAAAATGAAATATGATCTTTTACTTCTTAAAAATGGAAACAAAGACTTTCTGGGTAGAAAATGATTTTTAAAGGGACTTTGGGAGATTGTGTTTCTTCAACCTTCCTTTTACAATGATAACATTTTATTTCATAAGTGGGGCATGGAGTTTACTCATTTTGTATTTTTAACTACAATTTACATTCTTTAAAAAAGGGTGGAGAGAACCAGAACTAATACTAATCAACTGGTTGAAGCCTTAGCAGAAACAGCAATGTCAACTGAATTCCTCTAAACTTACAAATTTCATCGTTATAGTAGTTAGAGCCTGAATTAGAGTCAGACAGCCTCAGTCTGAGTTTTAGCCACATGATCTAAAGCAAGTTATCTAACTTCTCTGCACTGGTTTTCTCATCTATAAAATGGGGATAATGGAAACACCTTCAGGGAGTTATTATGGAGATTAAAAGAGACTGTACACGTACAGCACGAACAAAGGTGCCTAGCACGTAGGAATTGCTCAATAAACTTATTTTCTGCATAAAACACAATAGATTAAAAAAAATACATACATATATACGTGGAGCCCTGGTGGCGCAGTGGTTAAACGTTTGGCTGCTAACCAAAAGGTCAGCAGTTTGAATCCACCAGCCGCTCCTTGGAAATCCTATGGGGCAGTTCTACTCTGTCCTATAGGGTCACTATGAGTTGGAATCGACTCAGCGGCAATGGGTTTGGTTTTGGGTTTTTTCTTATATATGTTTATTATTATTATTATTTTTTACCCTTTGGAGTTCCACACCAGTTTCAGGACACAAACTATGACTCAAAGAGGCTATGATCTTGCCACATCTAAGTTCACACTTTTTCTTATTTCCACACTGATTTTATAAAATTGCAAAAATGCCCAGTGGTGGAATTGAATAGGTGTGAATACCAACTGCTAACTAATACGGAATAGCATGGTTAGCATTTCAAAGAGTGGTTCAAGTCCAGATGGGCCTTTTTTTTTTTTCTTTTTAGAGGTAGGTAAGGAGGGATGAAGGAGGAAAAGCCCTCCAATATACAGCAGAGAATCTTTTTAGAGGAGTCCCAGGGTGGCGCAAAAGATGAAGTGCTTCCAACCCACCCAGAGGCGCCTCAGGAGTTGAGCCTGGCAATCGGCATCTGAAAGATCACAGTCTCAAAAACCCCATGGGGCAGTTTTACTCTCACATGAGGTCCACATGAGTCGGAATCGACTTCACGGCGACTAATCAACCTTTTTGGGATTAAGGATTTCTTTGAAAATCTGATGGAAGCCACAGACTTCTCTTCTGGGAAACAAACAGAAACACTACTGTTTGGCATATGGAAATGTCTAGTGGTTCCCTATCTTCAGAGGCCTACTCATTCAATCTGGGTTAAGAACTTCTGATGCTTTTCACTGAAAACACAATAAAATATTATTTTTTTAAAAAGAATTCCTGATGCAGAGGGTAAAGAGAAGTTTTGGTGTGGGATGGGGCTAAGGGTAGGGGAAAGGGCAGGATAAGTTTCCAGGAAAAGAATGAACATTAGAGAAGACTACTGATGAAAGTATAGGGGTTTTAATAATCTTTTTTTTTTTGCAATTTATTTTATTTTTTTGCTGTTGAGAATATACACCAATTTGCAGCAGAACATACACCAATTCAACAATTTCTACATGTACAATTCAGTGACACTGATTACATTCTTTGAATTATACAACCATTCTCAAGCTCCTTTTCCAAGTTGTTCGTTTCCCATTAATATAAACTCTCTGCCCCCTAACATTCCTATCTTATTTTTACAGTTTCTGTTGTCAATTTGATCCCGTGCAGATAGGTCTCAAAAGAGCACAATGCTCAAGGCAGGCATTCTTTGCTAGTTAAGCTAAACTACTGTTTGGTTTTAAGAAGACTTTAAGGGATATTCTGGCTTTAAGATTTAAAGATTATCTCAGGGTAATGGTTTCAGGGGTTCACCCAGCCTCCATGACTCTCTGGAATCCATGAGAATTTGAAATTATGTTCTGCATTTTCCCCCTTTTGATCAGGATTCTTCTATAGAATCTTTGATCAAAATGTTCAGTAATAGCAGCCGGGCACCATCTAGTTCTTCTGGTCTCATGGCAAAAGAGGCAGATGTTCATGGTAATAATCTTTTAATTTGTAAGTGTAAAGGTCAAAAATTTTAGAGCTTTTTTTCTCCACACTTCAAATCTACCCACAAATGACACTAAAAATAGAAAGAACTATAAAATGTACCCAGAAACCACATTTTTAAGAAGAAATGGCTTTAAGCAGGCTTTCATTAAAAGCAACTGTTAGTGATCTAGATTTAAAATGAACATTGTCAGTGTTATGTAACTAGATCTACATGAATCACAGCTCTTCATTAAAGGCGGAGTGGTGGCAACTTTAAAAATTAACGTATGTTCCCAAGGCTGGCAACAAACCATTTATGAAAAATATCCTCTCGTCCTCATTCTTCATATTTTATAATAATAACATAGCGGAGGGGCACTGGACAGGAGTAAATTAAGCAATCAAATACCATAAATGACATGTAAGAAATTATCTATTAGAAAGTTAAAAACAAAAAACGGAAAGACAGGATGAAAAATGCAAAACAAACTTACCCAAAAAAGATGAAGGCATTCTGGAAAAATACAGCAATTCCAGGGTATACGGTAGGTTTTTCTGTAAAAGTAATTGTAATATTTAGAGATTTATGATCTCAATTCATTTAGTTTTAAGATATACTGGCAAATATCAGTTTCCTGCCTAGCATAATTGATTTTTCCAGTAACTATGGTTGGTTTGAGTATTAAATAATACATATGGCAGAGATAGCATTGGTTTAGTAAATGATAGCTCCCTTTACTCATTTAACAAATATTTACTGAGTATACACTATATGCCAGACACTGTTTATGGTGCTGAGGATATATCAGTAAACAGACATTTTTTTTTTGTTTGTTTTGTTCTCACGAAGCTAGAATAAACAAATAAGGAGAAAGAATAAAGCAGGGAAGGTAGTGGATGATGACATTTTACCTAGGTGGCCAGGAAGACCTCCTGAGAAGGTAGCAAGAGTAAGCATGTGAAGGAAGTGAGGGCAAGAGCTGTGCAGCTATCTGGGGAGAGGGACTTTCAAGCAGCGGGAACAGCAAGTGCAAAAGCCATGCAGTGGAAGCGTGCCTGGTGTAGCAGAGGAATAGCCACATTGGCAAAGGGGAGAAAAGCAGGTAGTGGGGGGGATGCGTTGTGGGAGAAGACCCTATAGAACCTGGCAGGTCATAGGGAGAACTCTGATTTTCACTCATAAGAAGTGACATAAGAAGCCACTGGAGGGTTTTGAGCAGAAAAGTGACATGAGCTGACATATTTTAACAGGATCACTCTAACTGCTCTACTGAGAGTGAGGACCAGTTAGGAGGCTATTTCAGGAAATCAGGAAAGAGATAGTGATGGATTGAACCTGGGTGGTAGCAAAGAAGATGGTAAAAATAGATTCAGGATATACTTTGACAGCAGAGTTGACATGATTTGCTGATCGACTGGACGTGAGAGAAAGAGAGACGTCATCTTTGATAGGCCTTAACCACCCAAGGTTTTTGGCCTGAGTACCTGCAAGGGTGCAGTAGCCAGTAACTAGGATGGCAGAAGACTGCCGGAGGAATATTTTATCCTGGATTGAAATTCTCATAGATTTCTACCATTGGAGCGCTCAATAATTACTTACTAAGTGACAAACTGAGGCATGATGAATAGATAAACTGTCAACCTTTTCTTAGAATAGTTTTAAATTACTCCGGTTTGGCTAGGCCTTCACTACTATTCCACATTAAATAACTACTGCCACTAGAAAGGCAGGCAAACTTTGCAAAATTACAGATCTGCTGCTAATAATATTCGGAGCATGACCTTGTACTACTTGGCTTCAGAAGCTATTAAGAAAATAAACTAAAATTCTATGAGATAAAGAAAGTCCTACAAACCGTCTGTATTAATAGTGTTATATCTGAAAAAGAAGAATTATCAGTAATTTTATTTTCTTCTTGGAGCTCTTTTGTATTCTCAGTTTTTTAATGAAGAAGTATTATGCAATTTACATGATAAGAAAAAAAAATAATTTCTTGTTTTAAAATGTGATAAAGATCCTGTAGCAGCAAAGAAACTACTTATGATGTGATGTTAGATGCAAAAAACAGGGTTCAAAATTACATTTATTCTATGATATTTAATAATCCTGTGATTTAATAATCACAAAAAAAGAGACCAAAAGAAAATACACCAAACATTTAAGAGTGGTGAGATTATTACAGTTTCCTTTTCCCCCCACTACTTTTTTAAACATTTCTGATAACATAGTTTTAATAACAAATTAAATAAACAATAGAATACAAAAATTTAAAAATGCCTATCATTCCTGTCTGTAAAACTTAAAAGATTTTAATAAAAAATCAGGAAACCCATGATTTTAATCTAGAGAGTTGCATTTTTACTCGAAGTGGTGTTAAAACATGAGCTAGATTAGGTTTATGCTGGTCTAGTTTTTGTAAATCATTAATATTATATTTTTAGTAGGATAGGCATAGTCAGTTTTCACCACAAACATTAAATAGGTCTGATATTTATCTGGGGCTCCCTCAAGGTGAAATTTCAGAGAGGGATCTAAAATAGGCCCTTTCCTGAGCCGGCCTCAAACTGACCTTATATAGCAGACAGACATTAAGTATTGATTTACAATCCCATCTGTAAGGAGATCACGATATATTGTCAGGGAGGCTTAAGTGAGTAAATTTCAATTTTAGGACATTAGCTTTGCAAGGATATCGTTCAGTAAGTCAAAATCTGCCCAATAGCTAGAGGATATATATATCCTTCATTGGTGCAGATGCTGGCCTTTTTCCTGATTGGTCTGTATACTCTAAGTACATATTTATTTTCCCTAACTACCTATACTGAAAAAAATTTCATTCAACCTTCCTATAAAACATCTCACAAAATATGTTTTACCATATTTAGAAGCTCAATCACCATATAGTTTTAGAACTTCTGTTCCAAAGTTTAAAGTTCTCCAAGAGTACTTTCAAACTATTAAATAAATATACTTAAAAATATATATATATTCTGCTTGAGGTGTTTGGACATCAAAGAGAAACAAGGTTTGGAGCTGTGTCCCATCACTTCCAGACTCTAGATTACAACAAAAAACACAGAAGAAAAGGGAAAATAAAAACATACAAATACACAAACAAAATATTTGTGGGGGCACGCATTGTGAAGAATGTAATCGCCATCACTGAACAATTTGTGTAGAAACTGTTGAATGGGAACCTAAGCTGCTATGTAAACCTTCATCGAAAACATGGTAAAATATTATTAAAAATATGTAAATTTATATAAAATATAAATACATAAAAATACATATAAATTTATGGGGCGGGGGAGTTCCCTGGCAAAAACGCGTTGTTAATAATTGGCCCATTTATATGAAGAAAGCTTTAATCTAAAATAACAAATTTTAATGTAAAATTTCAGTATTCCATTGAAGTAAAATGTAAACTTTTGTTTTCTCTTACCTTTAACAACATAACCTCCAAAGAGAATCCACATAGATGCAATCAGAGATCCAAAGGCCAACATGAAACCAATAAACAGCCAAATGCGAGCACCTTGAAAGAAATACCATTTTACCAGGATTGTTTCTCATGTGGCCAGTGAGTACAATCAAACTTTTCAAAAAGAAAACAAAAACCCAAAGAGAAAAAAACCAAACAAACATATAGTTGCCATCAATGTCTAAAATAAGTAGGCAGAAGAAGATATGTTAAGTATCTTTCATTAGCACAGACGTTGGCCTTTTTCCTGCTGATTGGCCTGTATACTCTAAGCGCGTATTTATTTTTCCCAACTACCAATACTGAGAAATACTTTATTCAACCTTTCCATAAAACATTCCACAAAGTATGTCTTACCATATTTAGAAGTTCGTTCTCCATATATTTTTAAAAATTGTGTTCTAAAGTTTACAGTTCTCCAGGAGTACTTTCAAACAATTAAATAAATACACTTAAAAATTCATATTCAGTGATACCTAAATCTAAAAGGTACCATATTTCAGTTTCAGGAAAATCAGACAGCAAAGTAAATTCAAATTTACTGTAGCTAGCACTTAGGAAAGTTGCATTAAAGTTATGTTAACAGAGGAGAGCAATCAACTTTTAAATCACATATAATATTTACGAAGATTTGCTATAAAATAAATGGAGCTGTTAGACTGCCTCAAATAAATTCTGAGATAAGTTTCTTTATTTAATTAGCACTAATACATTTTAGTAAAAACGCTCCCTAGCTCTATAAAGCACAGCAAACAGAATGTTACATATTAATTTCTGATTTCATGCCTAAAACATAAAACACTAACTCAGAAATAATAAGCCATTGCTCATAAGATGTGATATTAAAACAAATACAACTGGCTCTGGGTCTCCAAAGCCGTGCCTGATCAGCAAACAAATTTTATTTCAAGATGTAAAGACCCTATTCTAGCCCTGGCTCTAGGTATTACAGGCTTTTTGTTATCAACGCTACCTGCTAACATTTGTCTCTTCTTTTAGAGTTTACAAGGTTATGGTACATCAGTGTTTCTATATCTCTTCTACTTAAGTTCCTCTAACAGGAGAGTGAACCAGAGAAGAGTCTGAGAGCATAGATCAAAGCTCCTACAGCAGTTTTTCCTATTCCATTAAAAAAAGAAACAAAAAGTTGAAATTTGTCTACGTCCAGGTTTATTTTTGTATAGATGCAATATTTAAATTTACCATTTAAATGCTTAATATCTGCCCTCTCAAATCCCTAAGTAAACTGAACTCTTTAGAAAGCTGTGCCGCACGTACCCTGTGTTTTGCTTATCTCAGGTACACAGCTATGGATTCCAGGAGGTAAGAGTTCTCCAGTTGAGAAGGAAGAGTCTAGGTGAACCCAAGCACTAAAATTCTATGATTCTAAACTATTTCAAAAAATAAGCAAATTTTCTGATACTCAGCAAATGTCTTCTACAGATTCCTGAGCAATAACTATTATAAAAATCCCCCCAAATACTGGGAATTCTCATGATCCATGAATTTATGATATGCTAATTAAATCAAATAAGGTTGGCAACAAAAGGGAAGAATAATTTATATGGTACAAAGTATTAAAAATTCTATTTTGCACGTCTTCTTTATTATATACTGTTCCCTACTATACACTTTATACATTTATATCTACATATTATTACACAGAGTTATATACTCAAGACTGTGAATTCTGTACTATACAGACTACTTTGACCAAGGTGCTTTTTCCCTTATGCCCTGGAACCTGTAAACCTCTGCTCTAGATACAACTCCATCCTATCCCTGATCTGAAGGAGTTAGACAAGTGGCCCTTCCATGTCTAATTCTCAATTTAAGGATGTAAACATATATTGTAAGATGTTGTATGCACCTATTTACCTGTTTGACCCAGACAACCTTCACTGTAACTATCACCTCGGACTTGTCCATTCGATACTGCATTAATCCTGTATGAATAAAATAAAACCAAGAATCAGGATCTCTGACTCCAAGAAGAAATTATTCATGACATCAAATTACCAGATACAATAAGCTAGAGTTCCTCAAATTTAAGGTTATGCCTCATGGGTCTTGAGTAACGGGTTCATATGACCTTAAGCAAATCCCTTCAACCAAATATTCTCTAAAGCAGGGCTTGTGGTCCCCAGAGCAGCAGAATCAGCATCACCTGGGAACTTGTTAGAAAGGACAATTGTCCAAATCTACTAAAACAGAAACTCTGGACATGGGGCAACCAGAAACTCCAGGAAAAACAAACAATACTGAATAAGAAAGATGTCAAATATGAAGCAACCTAAAATGTAGTATGGATTTGAGAAGATGTTAAGAGTGCAAGGAGAAAAAATACATTTGAAAATTTTCTTCTGAGTGGCATGGGGTCATGACATTGAAATTGATATCATAACACATTACTTGGCTTTGCAGTGAATTTTGTTTACCGATTTTTTTTACTTTTGTTCAACAGAAGTGATCCTGTTAAAATAAAACATAAAGCAGATCATGTCATTCCACTGCTCCAAACCCTCCAATAGCGTCTATCTTACTCACAATGAAAGCAAAGTCCTTACAATGCTTTACAAGACTCTATTTCATATTCCCCCTCTCCTCTAACTCTCTGACCTCATCAACTACTCTTTCCCTTGACTACACCACTCCAGCCATACTGGTGTCCTTGCCATACAGCCTTTGTACCTGCTGTTCCATCTACTTGGAATGACCCTCTCTTATACATTCCCATGGCCAGCTCCTCTTTTTTGTTTGTTTTTTTAAAGTCTTCTTAGTGAGGCCTTCTTTGACTTTTCTATACCCCTTGCTGATATATATCTCCCTTCTCTGCTTTATATTTTTCTCTGTATCCCTTATCATTATCTAACACACTATATGTTTGTCTTTAGCTACTGTCTCATTTATTAGATTATAAATTCCATGAAGGCCTGGATTTTTTCCCTGTTTTGTTCATTACCGTACCTCCTGTACCTAGAACAGTGCCTGGAATATAAAAGCTTAATAAATAATTATTGGGTAAATAAGTAAACTTTTAGACAAAGTACATGGTTTCTGACCTAAATATAAACAACATTGACAGCCCAGAAATAAAGGATAGTTGAGAGAAGGTGGGAGGCAGAAGTGGGAGAGAAGAGGAAGAGGAAAGGGGCCTGCTGCTTTTCTGTTTAACCCCTTCTCTACTCTTTGACTTTAACTATGGCCAATATGCTATCTTAATAACATTTTTAAAATTTAAGTCTACGCAACTACAGTGAAACCTGTGAGAGCCAGAACTTATGGGACTGCCTTGTTTTTCTGGGTCTCACAAGTGTTCCGCCTTTGATAGGGTGCAGTCTTACCACTTTTCTATCACTCTCTATTAGTGGAAAATATCTAGTTTTCCTTCTCTAACAGGTTTTCGCCTTACACAGGTTCTGGCTTTCACAGGTTTTACCATATATGTAAAACATCTCTGTTTTGTGACAGTCTATGTAAGCAGTGTCCCTAACAATGACACTTACATCAGGAAGGCTATGGTTGCTATAACACCACAGGCATGGTATGAGTGGTTGAACTCTTCCATAGTTGGGTAAATAACAGCTGCATCTATGATAATCCACCAGCCTGTAAAAAACTAAAAAAAAAAACCCAAAAAACACAAAAACGTAAGTGGTAAAACCAATGAGAAAATTACACTAATTTTAGATCTTATTGGTTAAAGAGAGCAATGTCTAAGTGAAGTGATCCCTTCTGATGAATTTCAAAATTTTCTTAAATATTCTAGCATAATATTAAGCACATGACTTAATATTTGGTTGCATACCAGATCGAGAGTGATTAATATCTATTAACATGTACTTATTTTCTAAGTCCACTTCAATCATTACTTGATATTATCATAATAGACTACGATCTAATTTTTGAACTAGAAACAAGTTACAATATCTTTTGGCAAGAGAAAGGAATATAAATGACTCCGGTTCCAACTGACAGAGGCATGGTCTATTTCTGATGTATTATAAGCCTCCAGAAAGATGTTATTATCAAAAGTGAAGAAAAAAATACTAAAATATGAGGAACAAATATTGTTGATATATTTTGCATCTGATGGACATGTCAACAATTTTAGCTATTCTCTTTGTGCTACGAAATAAGTAGCAGCGCTGCAGATATACTTTTCATTTGGATCTCCCTAGCTCTAACAATCACAGTGCAGCCTGCAGATAGTTCAGGTGTAATGCTAACTTTAAGTTAAAAAAACTCACTGCCATTGAGTTGATTCTGATTCATAGGGACACTACAGAACAGAACAAAACTGCCCCATAGGGTTTCCAGGCTGTAATCTGAAGCAGACTGCCACATCTTTCTCCTGAGGAACAGTTGGTGGGCTCAAACTGTCCACCTTTTGGTTAGTAGCCAAGTACTGAACCACTGCGCCACCAGGGCTCCCTAATTTAACTTAAATATCAAATTATAATTTATCTCAATTGAATGTAGTTCTGGATATCATCAAAGGCAAATATACAATGAAAAATACAATTAAAACTGCACAGATATCTTTTATCATCTAAGCAGAAACTACAATAAAATGATATTAACCAAACTCTAACAAGCAGGCTTAGGAGGTTTTGAAAGTAGACCTCTCTCCCACTCCCAACCCTGACTCAGTTAACTCTGGGACTGGACCATCTCCTGACAATGATTTAAAAATAACTATTTCAGGCTGATCAAATTATTTTTATCAGGTTATAGATAGATCCATACTTTATTATGACATTTTTACTGGCTAGCTTAAGTACTACTTCACCTTTTTTTTTTTTAACCCTCAGCTCAATGTATTTAAGATATTTTCTTTTTGGACTAAAATTTAAAGCTTTATTTGATATTTGAAAAGCAGACTTTGATTTTTAGTCATTCTTTTATTTCACATTGACTCTTTAGAAGACACAACACCATAAAATTATAAAACACAATTATCAGATCTCTAGAGGGATTTGCGGTGTAAATAAGAATCTTATACTGTAAATTACTTCTAAGTAATATATTTTAATGAGTTTCCTGCTATTTTTTTTTTATGAGATTGAGAAGAAAGTTAACTCTGGATTATTGAGAAACGCAATCATATTTCTTGACCGATTTGAAGCTGATTGTTTCTTAAACACTTCCTGGCAAACCAAGGTACTTATTAGGAGGAGTCATAATCCATGTAATGTATAAATACATAAAATGTAATGTCTTTTTATGTAATGTCTTATCGTGCAGCTAAAAAAAAATCAACCAATCTATTACTCAAATTTCAAAACATAATTTCAGCTTTCAAAATGGAATAAATCAACTCCCTCATAAACAAAACAATATCAACATTTATAAAATAAATTCATGGGACAAAGATAAACAATACATATTCAAAAACATCACAAAGAATTCAAAACACATAAACACACCAAAATAATGAAAGCCCAAATTACCCACGACACTTACTAGAACACCAGCAGTAATGGAAGCAATAGTATTGCGCTTTTCCCCCCAATCAACGCATTCTGAGCATCTCAAGCCTTCTAGAAATCCAGACATTTTTTCAGGTCACTTAAAAAAAAAAAAAATTATTTATTTGCTTCAAACCTGACTATGTTCCTAGAAAATAATTAACATAGTTCTGGAATAACTTAATAAAAGTTATTACATAATTACAAGTGCTTTATTTTGGCTCTACATCTTCAGAATATTTGATTTAGCTTTTGGTAGAATCCTACTTCGTAACTATGGAAAACAAAACTTGGAATCCTTTAGTATTTTTCTTTTTAATGCAAAAGATAATTTTGTATACTCAAGTAAAATGAACAAAGGTGGGGTACCCAAATACTAAAATTTTTTTAACTGCTGGTTGACCTCCTCCTGATAGCTGTCACATCATTATATTATTTCCCAGTAGGTTATGAAATTAGTTTAAGTCTTTTAATAACCTAGCATAATGCTTATTAAGCCATAAGAGCTCTTTTGCATCATTTTGACTCCAAAATGTTCTATGATTTTGATATTTACAGTTCAGGGGCACTAAGATAGTGGAGAGACAAGTGTTAAACTTTGGCTCTGGGTTAAAGCATAGATTCAGATGAAAGTTTTTTCTCTTACAGATTTACACACTTTATTACAATACATGTGTTTCTTCACACACAGATTAAGAAATTCAACACTGCACTGCAGGTTTCACCTCCACACACATCACTTCCTTTCATCCCATCATTTTTTTCTTTTCCAAGCCCGCCTTTTTGGAGTCATTTCTATGTAACACATCTTTCTCCAGCGGAACGGCTGGTGGGTTCGAACCGCGGACCTTCGGTTAGCAGTCGAGCGCTTAACCACTGCGTCACCAAGGCTCCTCTATATAAAGAACACCCATTTTAATTTAATATCTCTATCTATAATACTAACAGATGGTTTCCAATCAAAAGAAAGCACAGAATTGAGGTTAATATTAATTCAGACGCAAAAACAGCCACTGCTATTTAAATTATCTTAAAAAAAAACACAAACCCGTTGCCCTCGAGTCGATTCTAGCTCATAGCGACCCACCAGGACAGAGTAGAACTGCCCCATAGGGTTTCCAAGCAGCGACTTGTGGATTCGAACTGCCGACCTTTTGGCTAGCAGTCAAGCTCCTAACCACTGCGCCACTAGGGCTCTTAAATTACCACAGCAAGTCTAAATTGTCTTAAAGAATTATATAAAACATTCCTAAGACACATCCACCTTATCTCTATTTCAGAGTATGAAAAAGCGTGGGTTACATATAACTGGCTAATAATCAAGTAACACCCAAACTCCTAGAAAAAGCCTGAATCCATCCATGAAGGTATTACGGTTGTCTAGAAACATTAATAAGACTGTGAGGATGGCGCAGTAACGGGTACTGTTTCATTCTGTTGTACACACGGTCCTGAGTCGAAACCGACTCGATGGTACCTAACAAGAGAAACATTAAATCCTACAGAAAGTAAACGAATCCAACGGTATCCTCCCTTTTTTATATTAAATATTAAAAACTATGATTATAAACAGGGTTAACCCTTGGAACAATTATAGGCTCAATTTTGAAAAATCATTCCTTTTATTCCTCCCTGGGAGAAACAGCAGTCCAGTATATTTCATTTCCGGTTCTCCCCAAAGATGCCGTCCGGAGACTATTAGCTTTGCATGATTACTGGCACAACTCTTGCCCAAACTCCGCCCTCCAGTACGGGAATTTTAGGTCTACAAAGTGGACTGAGACTTGGTCTGGAAACTAGTTCTAGCTCGGCCACTTCCCTCGCTGTGTGAACCAGCCAGGTTAAACTCCCTCTCGGGGTCTCGGTTTACCCATCTCTAAAGCAGGACGGCGAAATGATTTTCATGGATACTGTGATCTCCCGGCGGAGGGACGCGGTCCCATCTCCATCTTCCCCACCATTCTGGGAGGCAGGCCGGCGTCTGGGCGCAGCTGCCCGCTCCCCTCTCCTGCTGTGGACCGGACACAGACACAGGACGGGAGGAAGTGCCCTCTGAGACACAGCCCTAATCTGTACCGTGCCAGAGAGTGGAGGCAACGACCCTATCAGCAACTGCCACTCACAGTCCCGGGTCCGAGCTCTAGATTGCGGCTATCCCTCCCCCCCTTCCCCCACTCTCCGCCTGACACTTACGCCCGACGCCACCTGTGAAGTAAGTCCGGAGACTGGTCTCGTGCCGCCCGGAGCCGCCTCACTGTCTCCTCCCTAATCTCAGCCAAGAAAACAAAACAGCCACAAGCCGCGGAACACCCGGATGTAGCAGCCCCGCCTCCCGGGGCGAAATCGCGCATGCGCATCCTCTTGGCTCAGCGAGAGGCGAAGGGAGGGACGCGGGAAGGGAGGAGGCACGGCTGGAAGGGAGCCACGCCCACGGCGCCAACTTCCCGCGCAAGCTCCGGGCGCTAATTTCAGGTACTTTCGACCGCGCTCAGTTTGCTGCCAAGTGGCTGAAGTGGTGATTGTGGGACGCTCTTCCAAGAGTAGGTTTGAGAAGTTGCAGTTTAAGCTTCGAAAGGCGTCCGTTGGGCCTTTCTATCCGTCTTGAGTGAAGTGTCGGCGGCCTGTGGTAAATTTCTTGGTGCTGGGGTAGGTCCCGCAGTTATCTCAGGTGTGGTGACAGAAAAAGTGCCGGGCCCTGAGTGGCTCAAAAGGTGGGGGCGGGATTTCGGCCTCGTAGCCCTCATTTGGTATTTTAAGTTTTGTTTATTTTCTCGGGGTCTGGACCCGCCTGCGCCGTGGCCCCGCCTCCCAGAGAAGGGCGGGGTCACTTCAGGGAGGCGGGGAATTCGCGGCGTGGCTTGGGGGGAAATGCGGGGGCCTAATCCGGGCGTGGTGGTCCGTTTCCGGGACTTGACCTATTTTTTTCGTTTACGGTAGCGTTTCTCAATTTCGGCACTATTGACGTTTTGGGCCGGATAATTCTGTGTTGTGGGAGGCAGTCTTGTGCACTATGCGATGTTTAGTAGCGTCCCAGGCAGGCCTTTACCCTCTAGATACCGGTAGCACCAACCCCAAGTTGTTACAAAAGTGAATTCACACATTGCCGAATATCTCCTCGGGGGGTAAAATCGTCCCCGGTTGAGAATCACTGTAAGGGGATAGTCTGGGTTTTCGGGAAGTGACCCTTTTCAAAGAGAAGGAAGGTAAAGACCAGAAGCAGCGATGTCTTAACTACGTGAATGACATGTGGTCAGACTCGCCCCTTCGGTCGGGTTCCAGAGTGTCGAGTCAGCCATCGTCCCGTAGCCAGAGCCGCCGCAGAGAAGGAGCAGGTCAAAGCCTTGTTTCAGGAAGCGCCACCAGCGGAAGTACAGGTGCTACTTTCGGTTTTATTCGCGGAGCGCGTCGCGATATCTCAGCCACCAGTACCGTGAGCGGCACTACAGGTCTTACACCGATCCAGCAGCAGGTCCAGTTCTTGGGGAAAGCCCTGTTATAGAAGGGCCTACGCGATCACGCGGGGACAATGATACATCGGCTTTGGCCGCACGGTGTACCCGAAAGAACACAAAAGTTGGAGGGAGAGATCCAGGACGAGGTCACGGAGCGGACCCCCCTTTGGCTTAAGTGAAAAAGATGTGTCACTTAACCGTTAAAAAAGGTGCACAGTTAACTTCTCTCTTTTCCCTTCTTTCACATGTATGGGGACAATATATGAGTAGGCTTCAGAGCAAAAGTTTCTGTGTTGTTTTGATTTCTCTCTGGTGCATGAAATCTATGTAGCTTTGGGTTTTGGGGGGCATTAGTTGACAGTTTATTTTTAAACGGACGTAATTTTTACCCCTCAGGATTAAAGGTTAATTGTGAATGTAAACTGGCTCGGGGTAGGGGAATCTGGTGCAGGTGGGTCTTAATGGAGTCTATTTAATGTTAATGACTAACAGTTTTCCAACTCTGAGTAGCATTTAAGGAACCCTGACTTCAGCTTCTAACAGGTTAACTAATGAGTGTGGGAGAAACAGTATTACTCCTTTTATCATTTCCTTTCCCTTTGTATTCTGTGTCCTCTGTTCTTTTTACCTTTACCGGCCGTTACATGGTTGAGTTGAGCATTTTTATATTTTTGTCATAATAAAGTGAACACTTAATTTGTCATTTTTAGTCCTTTTGGGGTGTGCTGTTGAATTAATGAATATTTGTTTTTGTCCTTTGTAGATGGAGTGGAGCTGTTAAGAATGGAGCTGTTAAAAACAGCAAAAGCCAGGGCAGCTAAATCTTTAGGAATAGCCAACCTTGACTTGCCAGCTAGTCTCGAACTGCGCCTGTAGCTAAAGAAACAAACTGTAGAACTGCTGTACCAAACAATGTGAAGTTCAAGGTAAGTGTTCCAGGTTTATCCAAAGGAAATCTTCAGAAAAGCTACTGCCAGAAAGATCTGATTAGCTGTTTTTATTTGACTTACCTTAGACTGTACTGCAGGAGCCCTCGTGGTGAAGTGGTTAAGTGCTCGCCTGCTAACCAAAAGGTCGGTGGTTCAAACCCACCAGCTTCTCTGATGGAGAAAGATGTGACAGTCTGCTTCTTTAAGATTTACAGCCTTGGAAACTATGGAGCAGTTCTACTGTCTACTATAGGGTCGCTATGAGTCAGAATTGACTCAACAGCAGTGGGTTGGGTTTAGTTTTTGGTAGACTATACATCTCAGAAAGATGATCTAATATAATTTGTTAATGCCAGAAATAGCAGAGCTAAAAATACTAGATAGACTGTCATCTGTGAAAATGGGAGAGTTATGAACTTTTATTTTTTTGTAACCAACCATCCCAGATTGCCTGGGACTGTCCCGGAAAGTCCTGCATTCCAGCAAACCATCCTGGGTGCAGAAAGTCCTGGTTTTCAACAGAGAGTACAGAAAGTTGGGGGAAAATACAAAACCTACATGATAGCCTAAAAAAATAGAAGCCGAAGACAACACTGTTAGTGTCAAATGGATACAATTGTCTGACTTCTCTTGACAGCTGATGTTGACAACCGTGATTTGTGGTTCACAATAATAGATCATCCATTGTTGCATTCTCAGAGTAATTTAAATGCCAAAGTGCTGTAATTGTGTTAACAGTCTGATTAACTGTTGCACTTTGGAGACACTTAGTTTAAATTTTAACTTTGTGAATATCATGACCATGTTTTCTAAGAGTTCAGATAATGAAAATGAGAACAAATACAGTACCAACATCAGCATGATCCTGGCAATACCGAAAAAGAAGCCTAAATGGCTATGTTATTTTAATGACAGATGAAAGGACACATACAACTGGATTTGGGAGGTAAATAAACAGCATACTGCACAATATGCAGAAAAGAATTTGCGGCTGGGCATGGTGGAAAAGGGGATGTGAAAGCACATATGGAGACTGAATCTTACAAGTCTGGGATGAGACAAGCAAGTACTTTTAAATCAATTCAAAGTGTTTTTGTCTCCCCAAAAGACACCAATACTCAGTCGAAAATAGCAGCTGCTGAATTAGCTTGGGCCTACCACACAAATGAACATGAATTATCATACCACTGCCTTGACTGCTCTGTGAAACAAAGTACAGTTACATTTCCTGATTCAGAGATTGCAGCATGTCCTGTGGGTGAGCAAAAGGGGAAATTTTGAAAAACAGATGTCTTGGCTCCTTACAGTGTAGAGTTGATTCTGTCAGATCTTACCAGTGACCATGCTTTCTACAGTATATCAAGTGATGTGCTGAATCATGGCAACAGAAAAGTGTCCACCCTAGCTCTTAGGTACTTTGATTTGAAAGATAGAGTTTCAAATTGTCCTCTTGATTTCTATGAAGATTTTAATGAAACCCCAGGAAACATAAAAGATTGCTGATATCCCATCCAAACACAAACTAGACTTTGCTTATTTATCTTCATATTCAGCAGATAGTGCAAATGTAAATTTTGGCAAATTCAGTCTATAGCCTCCCGGCCAAAGGAAATGAAAAGATCTTACCTCCTAAATGTCCTGCACACCTTGTACACAAGACTGCTAAAAAGGGGTGTGATTTGCTTTCCTGTGATATTGAAGCTTTCATAATGAAAGTTTTTGGTTACTTTTCAGTTTCTTCAAAACAAGCAGAATGATATTAATTAATGAGATTCTTGACTTTTTAGAGATGGAAGGAGATAGGTACCTTAGACATGCACCTGTAAGATGGCTGTCGTTATTGCCGGCCATAGAAAAAAATGTTAAAATGTTGGCGTACCATAAAGTCATATTTTCAAAGTGTGGGAAAAGAAGAATGTCCTTCTTTAATTTGGAAATACATTGAGGATGAGAATGGAGAAGAGGATCACAGTACAACAGAAATTTATAAGCTGTTTCTCCAAAACTGCTTAATGGTATTTGAAGAAGCCACAAGGAGCCATGAAAAGGATAAATAAACTAACTGCACATGAGTTGTACGAGATTATGTGTAGGTTGCGACAAAAACTCATACAGCAAAAAATGACTCATTTTTTGGAAGAAGACTGCTTTAGAACTCAAAAAATGTCACCAGAAAAGGGCAGTCAAGTTAAACAGGACTTTCTCAATTTCTTCACTAGAACCATAACGTTTTTGGAATCTAGTTTTGATTTCACAAGTTCAAATTACCTGTGTTTTAAAACCATTTTACCTGAGAAAGAAAAGTTTAAGTTAAGATGACATCCAGTGTGCTTCAGAATGTTTAAAAATGATGGATGTTTAGACATAGACAGCCAGCATGATGAATTTATAGGTGCAAAGGATCTGATTGACAAACAGCTGGTCTCCCAAAACAAGCCTGTAGATAAAAAATGGATGGACATTTTTGGAGAGCTGGGAACTAATTCCTACAAGTCTAAAAACATGCTCTTGCTAGTAAGCAAAATCCTAAGTATTCCATGCTGAAATGTTTTTGTCAAGAGGATATTTAGCTTGATGTCACCACATTGGACTGACACCAGGAGTCAGTGTAATGTGGGCTTGATAAGTGCACAGCTGCAAGTCAAAGAGAATTTTCTATTTGACTGTATTTAGTTGTACCGCTACATAAAAGAAAAGGTTGTCCTAAA